TGCGCCTTGACAATTTATTGCAGTTTAATCTTTGTGACGATTATGAATAAAAAATATGAAAGAATTATGAACAATATGTATAAAGTACCACACGAGCAAAAAAATGTATTAACTGAGGGTCAAAAGAAAGAATACCGTGTTTGTTTTTTATCTAATGGAAAATTTAAACAACTGTTGTTAAATTTGATTTTGTCTATTTAACCATCACTCATTCCTGCAACAGTTTGTGAAAGGTAACCTGTGGCTGGGTACTTTGTGTAAAAATATATTGGTTGTGTATTATGTGAATTAAATCTTTTAATTTTAAAGTTTTTAAAGTTCTCAATCAAATCATATTTAAAAACATGTTGGGGTATTGTGTGAGTGCTGGCAAAGTGCCAGAATATTTTTTTTGGGTATGATATCGCTAACTTAAGATATTTTTATTTGAAAATCAAAGATATGATAAAATCCACAGAGATGTACAGTTTCCTTTGTTCGTCAGTATATATTTGGAATGCAACACAGCGGTGCAGCAACTACGTGGCACAGCAAGCGCTCACAATTTGAAACCGTGTTTCTGGACGGCCCAGTGTGGAAATTGTCGTTTATGAGTTGACTCGATATCGTTGTTTGATTGTTGCATTAGTTATATGGGTTTGATCACAATGCGACTTACTCTTACGACTATGCTTGTCGTAAGACGCGACTAGCGGGATCGGGTGGTCAGGCGCGCTGACTTGGTTGATGCATGTCATCGATCCCAATTGCGTGGATCGATGTTTAGGGTGTCAATCACTGGACTGTCTGGTCCAGACTCGATTATTTACAGACCGCCGTCATATAGCTGGAATATTGCTGTGTGCGGCGTAAAACAACCAACCAACTATTAAAAATTATATCTTGTTTTGCATCAGAAGCTGAAGAATGAAGAAATATCTAGCCTCCAAACAAAATCCCTCCAAAGACATTAATATGGTCGGTCCCTTAGGATATGAAAATAGCGTCCATTTTTAATACACCAAATTGCTGGGTAAGTCACTACGTTCCAGTTTCAGTGTCACATTATTGCCAAAAGCGGCATAAAACAATACTCACTCTCTCACTCACTCACTCACTCACTCACTCACCGAGTTTTCAAGGAGATGCGGAACTAAGGGCAGATGTAACTGAGATGTCAGTGACATATTCTTACAATTGATATATTGTTTTATTGCTGGTATAAGACTAGAATATTCCAGAAAATGTGTTTCACGGTCAGATATCTGTTTTAGGTAAAAACAAGTATGGAACCTTTCAACTCTCGTCCAGCAAATCATGTATAAGATTAATGCCTTTTCCTGAGTATTTTGTATGGTACACAGGAGTGTTTCCTATTCTTATATTCGTATTTGCCATAATGGTTGTGATAAAATATCTTTTCCCTCGTTGATAGAATTTCATTATTTTTCAAGTAAGCTTCCCTATACATATAGAACACCTTTCCAAAAGACGCGTGAGGATTACGGGGTAGAATAGGTCTTCAGCAACCCATGCTTGCCGTAAAAGGCGACTAACGGGATCGGGTGGTCAGGCTCGCTGACTTGGTTGATACATGTCATCGATCCAAATTGCGTGGATCGATGCTCATGATGTTAATCATTGGATTGTCTGGTCCAGACTCGATAATTTACAGACCGCCGTCATATAGCTGGAATATTGCTGAGTGCGGCATTAAACAACAAACAAAACAAACATTGGTCCTCGCATTAATAACCATTTCCGAAAGGTAAAATTGGCATTTAAGCTGAAATTAAATTCGTGTTAGGGTAATATTATTATTCAAGGGAGTGGTAAGCTAAGAGTGTTGGTGTGATTGGACCAAACGTCCAAGATATCTTTTGAGCAGTGATTGTATTTTTTATAACAGGCATTCTAACACATCCCTTTTCGTACGGTTTTATTATAATATTTCTTCAGATTTTGACTTGTTTCATTTAAAACATAACATGAAGAAAGGTGTTTCGAGTTCTTTCACAAAGCTTTCACTTGGATCCCGCCCCCAGGACTTTTTAAAATATATTTACTATTGTTGCAGATGCTATCTCTTATGAGACATTTTAGAGCGAAATTGGTCTCCAATGTTTTAAGTGCTGCTTTGGTTTGTCCTTTTGTTTTTGAATGCATTAGATCCTGCTTTTGATTTATTGATAATTCTCCTCTGTTGAAATCTAGGGAAACTGATCGTATCAGATATTTAAGAAGATCTTGCCAGAAAGAAAAGGGGAATTCTACAGTAATCCATCAGGACAGGACTTTTCTTCATTTTTCATAATTTTCAAAGACGTTAAAACTTCCTCATATTGTAAGTCACCTTTCATAGCCTAATTGTTGTGGTGTGCTTAGTTTTGGAACATTGATATCTAGGTTTACGTTTTTACAAATCTGTAATTACTTTGAGTTTTGTTTATGATATGCTGTTTCAGTTATGGCATGCCCATTCTTTGTTTCTAGCTAAGCTACATTCTTCAGATAGTGGGCGGTCGGGTAGCCTAGTGGTTAAAGCGTTCGCTCGTCACGCCGAAGACCCGGGTTTGATTCCCGACAGGGCTACAATGTGTGAAGCCCATTTCTGGTCTTCCCCGCCGTGATATTGCTGGAATATTGATAAAAGCGGCGTAAAACCATACTCACTCACTCTTCAGATAGTTTACTTTTTCTAAGAATAAAAAGTATTTAGTTGGCTATTTTCCCATTTCTCTCCACTCTGTCCAAGAGTGCATGATTATTCTCTCTTTTTTTACAATTTATTTCTTCTAGTTTGGTGTTTGCCTCTTATTCATCAATATTTCATTTGATTCTTATATCCATTGAGGTATTTACAGTGATTTGCAATTCTTTGATATCTTTTTGTAAGTCGTTTTCTTTCTGTTATCGCCTTCATTTCATTTAGAAGCGTATTTCATAGTTTGACCTCTTATCACCAACAGTTATGATTCGAAGAAACAGTTCGTCTTCTATTTTAAATCTGACATTGCCTTGCTCATCGACACGTTTTATATTCTTCTATTTTACGTTTAATTACTTATTTAGTTTTAAAAACAAAACAAAAACGTTTTGTCGTTGAGTAAGGAATTAATAAACTTCCAATGGCCCCTTCCTCTCTCGGTGCTATTAAGTTTTAATTAAGTTAATACCTGAAACATAAGATGGACATGTCATTTTGACGGTTTTATTAAAACAGTTAAAATTAAAGTCTTTTCAGTCCACTGTCTAGGGTTAAATAATCAAAAGAAAAGGAGAGATGTATTCGAATACTTCAATCAGAAAAACGGAAATATATACTTGGTGCAAGAGACTAATTTTACCCACGACTTAGAGCGGAGGATTACATTAGAATGGGGATCGTCAGAAGTACGTTATAACTCCTTTATTAGCCAGTAAAGAGGCATAGCTATTTAATTCCAAGATAGTTTCGAATTCCACATACGGTGTATGAGAGGAGATCAATGACAGTGATGATGGAAATTACACAATACTTTAAATAAAAGTAGATCACTGTGTGAAGGAGTATGAGGCTGTTGCTGACGTGGCCCCAGTGTCGTTGATCCAGTGCATCCCATAAATGTTCGAATGGGTCTAAGTCTGGAGACCTGGAGTAGAGGGATATGGCAGGACCTGGAGTAGAGGGATATGGCAGGACCTGGAGTAGAGGGATATGGCAGGACCTGGAGTAGAGGGATATGGCAGGACCTGGAGTAGAGGGATATGGCAGGACCTGGAGTAGAGGGATATGGCAGGACCTGGGTGTTGTGACACCTGAAAATGGCTGTTATCAGTCTTGTCTTGCCGTGTGGTCAGACGTCGTCTTGTTGGAAAATGGCATTAGCTTGCTGCATACTAGGAAGAATCTCATCCATGTAACGTTGTGTGTTAAATTCCCCAAAACGTGCACAGAGTCTGTTCTATCAGTGTAGGAGATGGCTGCCCACATCATCACACTACCACCACCCTGTTTTTACAAACAAGAGAAAAGTCTGGTTATGTGATAAGCCTTCACACAAAGAGTGGTCACTAGAACAGAATCCTCTTTCACGGCATAAGGTGACCATAGCCGAGTATGTTTTTGAGTTATTGGCTATTGTTCACAAACAATGCTTCAGAATGGTCGACATCTGTCCTTTCAAGAAGCGTCCTGATCTAGGATTGGACTAAAAGTCCCAAACTTGCTGCAAGACACAACAGTGGAACCAGATAACCAATGGGAAGGTCACAAGTAAGTAGTCAATAACGTCTGGGGCCCTTAGTCAGTAGTCATTATGTTTTCGCCTCAGTCAAAAACACACGTAAAATGTTTCAAGTGAATCTAAAATGCGAAATCATCTATATTAGAATTTAGATCATCAGCATGTCTGTAGGTAAACATGGGGACAACTGGTATTTGTTTCATTATTGTAGACCCGTGAAGATCCAGGGTAGAATATGTCTTCAGCAACCCATGCTTGTCGTAAGAGGCAACTAAAAGGATCGGATCAGGTGGTCAGGCTCACTGACTTGGTTGATGCATGTCATCACATTCCAATTGCGTGAATTGATGCTCATGATGTCAATCACTGGATTGTCTAGTCCAGACTTGATTATTTACATACAGACTGCCATCATAAAGCTGGAATATTGCTGTGTGTGGCATTAAACAACAAACAAATAATCATTACTGTAATTCGTGTTTTGCAAATAGGGTGCTGACAAACGTGGAAACATAATCGGGGCCAACAGGGATTTGAACCCACAATCATATTTCTGGCGTGCCCAAGGGACGCAACTCTGCACAGCAAATTGCAGCGCCTTAGATGACTGGGCCACCCGTGCCCCCTGTTGTGTTATTAGATCTATGCGACTTGTATGAGATTTAAGTTAAAATTTGACTCATTATGTTTACAAGTTTTCGTAGCTGTTTTTCGCTCAACAGTATAGCAGATTGGAACTCTCATAAACAACAAACAAACAAGGTGATGTCATAGCATAAAACAATGTCAATGAAGGAGATATTCAGTTTGGTTTATTTACAAGAATAAGGTATCAGCACAAACCCTCACATCAGCAGCAGGTCATAGGCTACAGTAAGATACAGGTCTTTAAAATGCAGCGCATGGTTCTGATCTAAATCATGTAATTAACAAACAATTCACCATTTAAGTTAGGTGAGAAAAGACAATCCTGGATTTTATTACAAGTAATGATAAATTGCCTTCTGCCAAAAAACAAATTAAATTGCATGATTATGTGTGATCCAAAAATACATATACCGTATTCGACTTAATAAGCGCCCCGCTCTAATAAGTACCAAATTTGTTAAAATATTGGTTAGTAAACGTATTACGACGAATACGGTATGCTATATAATACTTGTTGTATAATACTGACAACACCTGCCCCTAGAAAATATCAAGTGTTAGTAAGACATAATATAACCCTACCCGTACAAAAAAGTTATTTTTATTTATTAATAATAAAAAATTTGTTAAGTGAGTGAGTGAGTCTGTTTATTAGATACAATATATTAGGAATAAAAACAATGTGTATTATGCTCGCCAAAGGCTATCGTAATACAATATATATTCCTAATATATGATATATAAAAGATACACAGGTGGGGCATAATCTCCTTATCATATAAAGTCGTTCTTTAAATAATACCTAATTTATATATGGCACCAAATGACTTGCAGTTATGTCTGTCGCCATATTTTGACGACAAATTGGGAAATTCACCAAAGGGAATGATTTTGAATCACGTTTGATGAATGGAGCTTCAAGTTCCTGCTGGGGCGGTCGGGTAGCTTAGTGGTTAAAGCATTCGCTCATCACACCTGACCTGGATTTGATTCTCTACCTTGGGTACAATGTTTGAAGCCCATTTCTGGTGTCCCCCGCCGTGATATTGCTGGAATATTGCTAAAAACGGCGTAAAACAATACTCACTCACTCACTCTAGTTCCTGCTGGGCAACCTCGTTTGCATGTCCATCGGATCAAGTTACAAAATTTATCAGATTTGTTTATGTCATTGATGACACAAACCTATAAATGATAAATTCACTTAAGGGTATCAACTGGTGCTAATTTCATAATTGTATATGGTTGGCGCCAGTATTGAATATGTCAAGAAATCCTGGTATTCATTTGAATCGTGACGATCAACACCCTCTGAAAATGTCAGCATCAGTATATTCTGCATCCTGCTAATGTATAACTGTTTCTACATGCACTACTTCCAATCCCCCAAGTTATCTGAGTCTCTACATACTGTACAAGCAATGGCATGTATTTACACTGTACAATACAACTTATTGCATTCTAATGAACAGATTGTTGTGACTGGTGGTGGCAAGGTGAACTAATAGTAATACTTTGATATTATTAATATTATTTGCAGGTTTATTTACAGAATCATTACATTGATAAAAGTAAAGACAATACGCGTTAGAAAAATCATGGCAGCGGAACCTGGATAAATTAAACAGGGAATTCTGAGCAAAGAGAAATGGCAGACACGGGAATTATGGAAGTTCATAACTTCATAAACACAGGTCGATGTAGGCACTATAGGAAGTAAGTAAGACACCAGAAGTACATGCCACTATAAGTACATAGTGGTCATTCATCATTTATAAAAAAAGAGAAGTAAAGAATATGCTTGAGCTCTGAGTAAATGTTCTTGAATACAGTTGTTAATTAATTGAAACTGATTAAATCTTTCAGATGCTCCAGTCCCAGGTGATATTCCGGTACACAGTTGGAACAACGTTGTCGGGATGGTTTACTTTGATATCTGTTTTTGAGGCCTCTCAGAAATATCAAATGTTCATCGTATCCCAGAATAAATATGAAACATGAGACAGAGTCTTCTGCTTATACATATAAGTAAATCATAAAACTCAGGTCATATTCCTCAACACAATATTAACTAGCATTACAGTAAATGTTATATATTTTTGACTACACATAAATGTTTTTCAAAAGGAGAGAAAGGGAGAAACATTATTTTTAACAATATTGAGGAGTTTAACACAAAATATCTCCTCAATAAATTACAATGTTCATCACAGTGACTTTGGAGCAACAACTACTTGACAAGCTTGGTTCCTTAAGCACATGGTGAAGAGTACAGGGAATTTGTGGTTGAGTTAGTTGACAGTTACAACCGGAAGTGTTCCCTTCCCTCGCGCTGACTTTCTGCCAGATAGCCTGGTGGCAGTCTTCTCCTGCCGCAGTTTCTCTGTGCGTTGTAGTTTGGACGTCAGGTGGATTGGCGGTAGGATCTTGTCAAGTTTCGGTGACTTGGGGAACTTGAGGAGGTTGGACACTTTGTCAAGTATTGATCTACAAGGAGAGTGGGAGATGGAGTGAGGTCAAAAGGTCAACACTAGTTAAGTCACCATGGACAAGGTCAAAAGGTCATGAGTGAGGTCATTAGGTCATGAGTGAGGTCAATAGGTCATGATGCCTATTATCAAAGTAAACAATGTGTTGGAGTTGAGGCCACTGCCTGAATGAAAAGATGTCAGTCTATTTGTTTGTGTGCTCACGTCAATGGCTTAATGGCCCATTGCACAGTATTGTTAAACAACAAACAAACAGCACGCACAGTAAGATGATACCCAAGTGTGGTGCTGACAACCCAAAGATGATAACTTGTGTGAGTCCAGTATCTGAACAACATCACTGGTCACCTTGGCAGGAATACCGTAATCGACGTAATAAGCGCCCAGGGCGCTCTCAAAATTAGAAATAGGGGGCTCTTACTAGAATATAATTTTGGTGAGATTAAAAACAAGGTTGAAAGATTGTAAATTTTGTGGTTGATCCTAACAGCCTGAAATGATATGAAAGAAGAATCTGTGTGTATTATACACGATAGATATATTTTCGAGAATTAAATTGCCCATAATTAAGGGGGCATGTAACAAACGAGTGCGTATTATACACAAATAAAAAAGTCTTGTGTACATTGATCAATTGGAAAGGGTGCTAACTGGGATTGTTCACTAGCCATTATATTAGCAAATACCGCCGTGGGCGCTTATTAGAGTGGGGCGCTTATTACATCGAATACGGTAGTAGTAGTTGACTTCATTTGCCGATCTTTGATTATCGAGTAAGCAGATTCATAGATACACTCGATTTGTGGGAAAAGGCTCACTACATTTTCATTTCTAGAAAGAGGTAGATGCCTGCTTTCAATAGATTCCTATACAGTCAGACCACATGTCAGCTACTTACTCAACATAAGCTTTGCGCTCATCCAGGAACAGCATGGCCTCATCAATCTCTTTGGGCGGAATGTTTTCTGGCGCCACCAGCTGCAGCAACGCAAACATGATGTCATTATCCACAAAACATTTTAAAATCAGTTTCATAGCAGCAAGCAGAAGCTGAAATATATTGACTATTCTCTCTACAAATGTGTTCTTCGCTACAATCCGCTGTGACAGAGCTGAGATACAACTACGTTCTGCAGCATTACTACACGCAGCTGGCTACAACTGGTCCCCCACATCTTCAAGAGGCAAGGGAGATAACTGACTCTAAAAGTCCAGTTTCCACCCTTGCCGAACTAGCCTGGTATTAGGGAGTTACATTTTGGCTGGACTAACGAGTCTATGCATAGTCCAATCAAAATCCCGTAACAAACTAGACATCCGGGGCGTAAACAACATGAATTTCGATGTGCAGATTTCGGTCGACTGCAGCATTTGCAAAGCATGTGTACCGTCAACTGGCTGTCGACAGACATTTTGCAATTCTTTTCATGTTTTAATCAAGGTGCTCAAGTGATTTGATGCACTTTGTGGGGTAAGACCTGTTTCATTACAATATGGATCCTTATTATCAATCAGACCATCTTGACCGGGCGCAGCCATTTTGTTAGAATCAAATGATATGAGAGGTGGAATCTGATTGGTCAATAGGAGGAACATAGAACGAACAAAACTAATAGCCACTGGAAATGCCAGCCCAGTTTGGCAAGTTTGCAAGCAGAACTTTTTTAAGTCTTTTATCATCTTCCCGAGGCAAGAGAGTTAACTGACTTTAAAAGTCCAGTTTCCACCCTTGCCGAACTAGGCTGGAATTACTGGGCTCGATTGTAGCACCACCAGTGGCTATTACAAGTTATGTCCCTTCTAAGCATCTCCTATGGACCAATCAGATTCCACGTCACGTGTCACTTGTGTTTGCTTCACACAAAATGGCGGCGCCCAGTCAGGACGATCTGATCGATAATCAAGATCTATATTGTGATAAAACTGGTCTTACATCGCGAAATGCATCACATCACGTGAGCACCTTGATTAAAAGCATGAAAAGATTTGGAAAATATCTGCTGACAACGATTTTGCGGTGCACATGCTTTGCAAATTCTGCAATCGATCAAAATCTGCACGACAGTTTACGAACCGGATTTTGATTTTGGTGCGTGATTTTGATTGGATTATGCATAGACTCGTTAGCCCAGCCAAAATGTAACTCCATAATACCAGCCTAGTTTGGCAAGGGTGGAAACTGGACTTTTAAATTCAGCTAACTCTCTTGCCTCGGGAAGATGGTCTTTTATTTGCCTCTGTGAGATGGTTCCCCAGGGCTGCAATACTGTTAGTACTTTACATCAGTGTTACCTTAAGACGCGAGCCGACATTGAACCTGCAGCTTCTCTTCCTGGCCGTGAGGGTGAGGGCGATGCTGTCCTGGTTCATCACACGGATGCCGATGTAGCGGTTCAGGCCGAAGCAGATTGGCTGGAATGGCGGGGCGTGGACGTGAGTCTCCTGGTCCTTCCACGTCCACTTCCTCCTCCTGCCCCCATGAACATCCAGCTCGATGCCGCCCAGCTGGTCAAAGTACAACCTGGGAACAGTTTCATCAGGTGGTCAGGAGCCGATGTTTGAAGGAAGAATCAGCTGATTCTTAAACATGAATTGTTTGTTTGCTGTTTAACGCTGCACTCATTAATATTCAAGCTATATGATGGTGGTCTGTAAATAATCGAATCTGGACCAGACAATCCAGTGATTGACATCATGAGGATCGATCTACACCATTGGGATAGAATGACATGCATGAGCCAAGTCAACGAGCCTGACCACTCGATCATGTTAGTCGCCCCTTACGACAAGCATATTATGAACATGACTGTCAAGAATGTCATTGATTGTAATGTCATGATAACCTATGGAAGCCTGTTTGGAGAATTCACTTACACAATCTTGGGAAGATACCTAAATGTGAAACCGAGGTGGGCCTGTAAAAACTCCATACATATCATGTTTGTTTTGTGATAATAAGTACTATAATCTAGCAATGTTTTAACATGTTGCAGTTTGAAGTCTCTATAAAGTCTTCAGTTACCATGTTTGGGCAAACTGACACAGATTTAATAGATTTCACTGAATTGAATTTTGCTCAAGGATAGCAATGAATTGCTTGAAAGGCATTTTTTAGAAGTTGACAGATACCGTATATCGCTGTGTATAAGGCGAGTTTTTCGTACCTAAAATGAGGGGGTTAAGAAGGGGGGTCGTCTTATACACGGAGTCGAAGATCTCACATTTTTTTCCACTGGCGATGTCAACCGGCGTCCGATAGCCAGCCCAGCATTTGACAATAAAACTTCGCATTTCGTCCTAAATAACTGTTCCAATAACTATTTCCATACATAAACATGATCTGTATCTCTTTTCCTTGAATAAAGTTTAATAATTTCTGCAAATAAAGTTGAAATGACCCTCGCCTCGATGCAGATTGTCAAACCACCTGACACGGTAAAACAATCAACATCCGTGAGTAGAGAGCCGGAAGTACCGGTAAGCATTTGCATATTGCACATGTGACCTAACATGTGATAACCGGTGAAGCTGAAATCAATTCCCGCTTTACAGTTGTATTAACAAGTGTTGGAGACGGTGTGTACAAGTGATTGTGGAATAAACACGCTGAATGTGAAGCAAACATAAGCCTAGTTAGTTACAACATAGTTAATTGGCGATTAAATTACTCACCATTGTCTCTTATATGTTATTACTTCAGAAATGAATTTTATTTTACGGGCACTAATTTGGTGTCGAACCGTGTAAACACAAAATGGCGACGTGTGCTGGAGTTACACACGCGACCTATCATTGTAGAAAAAAACAACGCAAGATAAACATATTTTTATTGCATATATAAGGTTTGTGTGCGCACTTGTGATGTGCTTCATTCCAGGTCGCCTTATACACAGAGTATAGGATTTTGGGTTGATTTTGAAGGCATGTACAGGGGGGTCGTCTTATACGTGGGGTCGCCTTATACACAGCGATATACGGTAACAAAGTAGACAAAAGTTTATGGATAACAACTTGCTTGACAACGGCATAAGCATCAACACCGAAACCCCTATTGCAGCATAACAAAGAAGCTGTTATCCAAAGGTTTCTCTACTATTTGGTCAGCAATGTCACAGTTAAATTCTGCCCTGAATTTGGAATTTACTCGATTCTGATTGGTCAATCAGAGGCTATTAAATCACAATAAACCCCCTCTGATTGAAACAGCTGGTTTGACGGCCGCATCACTGCGCGTTCGGTTCCAAATTTAATTTAGCGCGGTTAAATCTACAGGTAACCTACCTCTACATTGAAAACACAGTGTGTTTGTCTCCTAATTGTTTCCTGTTCGTAACTGAGTCAGATAAACAAGTGGCTGATAATCAGGGTGGTTCCATAAAGAGATATGATGCTCGGAGTATCCCTGGTAATGTATGAGAGATATGATCGTCTTTGTGCGCATCAGTGATATGTGAGCAACAGCCAATCCGGTTCAGGAACACGACACACACCTACATCAATGGCACAGTTCTTGGATAGAGGCTATCATGGGAGTGGTTTGGAATGATAAATTTTCTGTATGAGGAATACACATTGTGCTTAGCAAGCCATCTAATCCGTCTCAGAAAGTAGTGGACAATTTTGTCTCGGATTTTACAAACAATAAGAGATATTGTTCCCTGGAAAACCAGGTTGTTCAGAAGAAATGTTTGTTAGCAATATTCCAGCTGTAAATGATCGAGTCTGCACCAGACAATCCAGTGAATAACACTGTGAGCATCGATCCACGCAATCGGGATACAATGACATGCGTCAACTAAGTCAGCGAGCCTGACCAACCAATCCTGTTAGTCACCTCTTACGACAAGCACAGTTGTCTTTACAGCAAGCATGGGTTGCTGAACACCAGACACGGATCTTCAGAAAATACTGGATAATTTTGTCTCAGATTCTACAACCAATAAAACAATTGTTCCCTAGACAACTAGATTTCTAGGAGTGATGGCAAGATATGGTTTCCTGTCTCTAACAAAATTTCTGCCCCTCCAATGTTTGGGATCTTGCTCTGTCATGGAGTCCTTATTAGGTCAACATATTCATTCTTCCACTCACCTGACTATTCCGTTGTTATGGTAACAGGACCCATACCCACTGGGTTCAAACACAGCCTTGACCGTGCGGCTGGGTGAGTCGTCATGCACCACGTAGATGTACTGACCAAGGCTCACACAGCTGATGAGGATGGCGATCTGACCGTTAGGGTAGCTGGTCATCGGTCAAGGAGGTCAGCAGATAACCAAGTTAATACAATTGACAACAGAGTGTTTGGGTTTAGTTAAGTGCAGATTTGAACAGCATTTCAGTTAAATGTGAGCTGGAAGCAGTATGAAATCTTGGATGAAGATTTTACGGACGTGGACGAAAAAACCCAGGAAAATTAAATTTGACAAAAAAAAGTTCCCCTTCCCCGAAAAAACAAAATTGATTGCCAGACATGTTGGATGATCTGGGAAAATGTGCTGTGAAAAACGTAAATGTTCAGCTCCTTTCACAGAAAAAAATGCATATTTTCTAAATAATGACCCAGATCCCACAAGAATATTAAGTGTTAGGTCCCTTAGACTACTGTGTTTATTACATGCTGTCAAACCAAGAATCTTGGACTTAAGCCATGTTTCAAACTGTGATGTGTCAGGGTGTGAGCTGTTACACAGAGGTATCTCTGGAAGGATACAACACATTGCCGGATCCATCAGGGAATACTGTTAGGAATTTCTTTCCATCCTCATAAAACTTCTGTATCAATGGACGTTCTCGAAACTGAAACACAATCATTCAGTTTTTAATAATAGTCATGATAAAAATATCTGTATATCGTCAGTATCAATCCCATAAGTAAATTGTACACAACCCAAGCTGCCTCGCTAGAAGCTGCTGTGTGGCCATTACTGTCTCATCCCACTTGGTACCCATCTGCTGCTGGTTAACATACGGTAAACAACAGTAAAGAATTAATCTTTACGAACTGTAATAAAAGGCACTGTCTTTTGTCAAGGGTAATATTTTCACGTTTTTCACATTCAAACTAGGACAGTTACGACACCAATACGTTACACGTCCTTCTTCAGACTGCTTGTTGACAAACATTTCAGAACGTGAAGTTACCAAGTCTTACGTTGTTTGTTGTTTAGCACTGCACTCAGCAATATTCAGCTATATGATGGCAGTCTGTAAATAATCTAGTCTGGATCAGACAATCTTGTGATTGATATAATCCACGCAATTGGGATATGATGACATGCATCCACCAAGTCAGCAAGCCTGAACACCCGATCCCATTAGTCTCCTCTTACAGCAAGCAGAAGTTGCTGAAGACCTATTCTACTCCGGATCTTCACGGGCAACCAAGTACTTATGTAAACAGAAAGGTTTACTTGAATGTTTCCTTTATTTCGATGTTGGCAGAACTGTAAATCTATCCAATAAAATATAAACCAACTGGGATAGTCAGCAGTTATACCAAGTCAGTCTACCACCTACCCTCCCTGTCCCCATCATGGCCGGGTTTAATGGTTCAGGCATGAAGATGTCTATATCCTCGTCCTCTTTGTTGAGTGGGCTCGGCGGCCGCAACGTCCATCCCTCCTCCAGACATCGCTGTGATGACAACTGGTAGTTGATTGTCTTCATCTGACGGGCAACTGCATCAAACATTAAACAACTTTCTAAACTTTCAAGCAATCTTCTGAGCCACACCCTAATATTAAAGGTATTTTACCTGCAAATAAAACATCTAAAAAAATATATTTAACGAATCTTATGCTAAAGATTAAGACACAAAAAACATGAAATTCTCCTCATATTTTGGTCATTTTGTATTAAATTAGAAAATCATACAATATCACAGAGGTTAATAATTAGACTTAAGACAATTATTTTAAGAATCACTTATGCCCCCAAAATATGTCTTTCTTGGTAAACTCTGTTTCATCAACAGTTTCCTGGAATTATCCCATCCTATGTGAACAATAAATTAAGCCACCTTGAGGCTAAGGGAATTAATATTACTGGAGTGTGGATCAACTTGATCATCATGATCATACACAGATTTGATCAGAAACATCATGCTCCTTGTAAGACAACTTTCACTGACACACAACAAATATGTTAGTGACAACTTGCCTTCCCACACACAACAAACCATCACTGTACCCAAACTACCGGTAGACAAACATGAGATGAAAATATTTTGAAATCTTTGTCGGTTCAATTATCTTTTAATTCATAATCCATAGAATCTCTCTAATTTCAGAAACTGAAGAAATCTAGACGTGCTAAAACACTGAGATTAAGATATTTTTGTTTCAGGTCAGTGAGAGGGGTTACATCATAATATCTGCTACAAAATAAATATAACACTCCTCCAGACTCCATGGCTGCTTGTACTGACTATATGGAGGGGGTGGGAGAAGGGTTGGGTGAGAGCAGGATGGGGTAGATCTGAGGGTGGAGAAGATCATGTGACATGTCATGTGACCGTCACATGTCATGTGACTGATCCATGGTATTACAGGTAAATGATTTCACAATGATGAACAGTCTAACTGCAAGAACTTATCGGAATATTTGCATAGATCTAGGTCTATTGTGGCGATTTGAGCACATACATAGCGTATGGAATTTAGATTATTACAAATACATTTTCTTTTATTATTACCGTATTCAACATAATAAGCTTCCCGCTCTAATAAGCGCCCACGGTGATATTTGCTAATATATTGGCTTGTGAACAATCCCAATTAGCACTCGTTCTCCATATGATAATCTGTGTCATGAACTAGACAGGAAAGTGTTATAGATATCAATTTACCAGTCTTGTCAATTGTGAAACCATTGCTGCAATTGTCACCAGGGATGTCTATGCACAAACAATACAATATATTTTTCTGGGGTCGGTTGGTCACTGCGTATATATATATATATGTATATATGCACAACATGATGATCATATATCAGAAGGATCAAAAGCAGGGCCACTCATGTACAAAATCATATTATGCCAAAACATTTAATTTTTTATTCCTTTTTTTTCAAACAGATTTTATATCACCAGGACTTGAGCACCTATCTTGGTTAGAAATTGCATTGTAATAAGGACTGTGGTATTAAAAGGCTCTCTCCCAAAATTTAGAAGAGGGAGGTATTCATTCACTAGTTTCTAAACCTTTTTATTTCATCGGTTGATGAGATTAATATGTGCCGAGAGAATTTTTTTTTTGATGTCATATTTTCTAAAGTAAAACACATTGTAATTACAAAATAAAATAAGAAACATGATCCAAGACCTCACTTTGGGACAAATTCAAAGAACAAACAATCAATTTGTTGAGTTTTATAAATGACATGTGGTTATCATATGGGTGGGGAATAGCTGAAAACGTAGCTGAGTACTGCTCCCCTTACACAGCCCAATATCTATTGGTCGCTGATATGTAGCCACAAATACTCCACAACAATGTCTTATGGAGTAGGATGCTGATTTTTCATCAACAGTCACAACTTGTTCAGCAAGCGAGCCTTTTAAGCCGCTTTTAGCAATATTACAGCAATATCACAGAGGGGGACACCAGAAATGGGCTTCACACATCGCACCCATGTGGGGAATCGAACCCGGGCCTTTGGTGTGAAAGGGCGAACACTTTAACCACTAGGCTACCCAACTGCCCCCAAACATGCTCAGTGCACTCAAACTATTTAACCGTTGGCACACCAAATACTCCAGATGAAAATGTATTTTCTCAAAAGTTATGTCTCTGTAAACAAGGGTACAGAAAACTACAGTTATAACAAACTGAAAGGTGGCCACTAATGTCAGTTATAACTGTAGTTCGTAATAAGCATACATACAGCAAACGCCTGGGACCAAAAAAAGTATGTTATATCCATCAGTTCGCTACAAGCGTGTTTGTTATAAACGTAGTATACCGTACACGCGAAAGGTATACTTTTCTTTCTCAATGTTGCTGTGTTCAGGAGCTGATGTAGCAACTCTCCTAAATTGTCTTTCTGGGCCCCGTTCCTCAAAGCGATCTTAGCGCTACGATGATCGTAAGCCTATGTTTAAGTATGGGACTTACGATCACCTTAGAGCTAAGATCGCTTTGAGGAACGGGGCCAAGGTTCATAACTTTTGACAAGAATATATTTTAAACCAAATTCTTGGAAAAAAAAAAAAATGGTTTGTGTACTACGAGTTATAACAAACTCTGTGCTGTTCTTTAGCGCACACTTCGACCAAGCTGGTGAGGGTGAAACCTGTTGCTGTGAGGATTCCTAGCTATATAATGGTGACCAGAAGAGGTCGGACAGTAAATTGGAGCAGTACGGAACAATTCGGCAGCTGGGGAGGGTAATGACATCCTCGGTTATCCAGTATACCATATCTCCATTCTATTTTGATATACACCCTGGACCCAAAATATTATAACTATCTCCTGATTAAAATAAATATATCAAAGGCTCACTCCTGTGAGATTGTGATTTTGAATGTAACCCTGTGTCAAACTCGCATCTAGAAGAGGCATTTGATTGGTTGTTGATTTCAATTTCAATGAGTAATATTCTGTGCTAATTCGAGCGAGGGAGCGGTTGAGATGGTGATGTCGTTCCGAAATGAAGCTATGGTTGATTAATTAATGTTTAATGCCGCATTCGGCAATATTTCAACTACTGTATTTGACGTAATAAGCGCGCTCTCAAAATTAGAAATAGGGGGCTCTTATTAGAATATTATTTCGGTGAAAGAGTCGAAAGATCGTAAATTTTATGGTTTCTGCTGACAGCCTGAAATGATACAAAAGAAACGTCTGTGCGTATTATACTCGACTGATATATTTTTCCAGAATTTAATTGCTCGTAATTAAGGGTGCATATATAGCACACGAGTGCATATTATACACGAATAAATGTACACGTATTGTGTACATTGATCACTCAGAAGAGTGCTAATTGGGATTGTTCACTAGCTAATATTTTGGCAAATATCGCCGTGGGCGCTAATTAGAGTGGGGCGCTTATTATGTCGAATACGGTATATGACAGCGTTCTGTAAATAATCAAGTCTGGTCCAGACAACCCAGTGATCAATATCATGAACATCGATCCACACATTTGGGATACAATAACATGCAATCAACCAAGTCACCGAGCCTGACCACCACCAGATCAATTTACTCGACCCTTTGGACCAGAATAGGATCCTGGGGATTTACATTCTTACCCAGAACCCCTGGGGGTCAAATGAAGCTATAGCTATTGGTCATGAGTGAGTGCAGGGGATATCCCAATAGAATGGAGGCCCCTGGAATGGCGAGGAGTGGATTATAAGGGAAAGCATTGGTCCACAGAGACCCTGTCACACTCCTGGTACCCCACACCTGCAGGTATACAAGTATATACCCCACATCTGCAGGTATACAAGTATATACTCCACATCTGCAGGTATACAAGTATATACTCCACATCTGCAGGTATACAAGTATACACCCCACATCTGCAGGTATACAAGTATACACCCCACATCTGCAGGTATACAAGTACATACCCCACATCTGCAGGTATACAAGTATATACCCTACACAAGGGCTTCAGTTACCAAAACACAATACATGTGACCAACCATGAGATAAGCGACCTTATGGGTGAAAAATCACATTTTGACTTTTCATTATATTTTAAAATTACATTATGTTCAGAACACAAAAATCCAATTCACAAGATTGAATTCATATTTTTTACAGAGATACATGACATCACACATCTTCATGACGATGTCTATATGACGTCATAGCACAATTGTATCCTAGCACCCATAAGTTGCCTTTTCTCCTGGTAGTCACATATCTTTATTAGTAAAATCACCAATATGATGCACTTCACACATATCAGACCAACATTCTATCACATCCCTTAAAGAAATAATCAACAGTCTTAACCATGTTTAAACCCCACCATCCTAACTACACTGACTGATAACTAAATGACTTAACACTAATGATTTTTTTAATTAATCAAATATGGATAAACATGACAAAATGAAATGGATGGATGAAAACAGATACTGAAACTAAATGACACTTTTGAAAATGAATGTAAATGGTCAATTTACATAAATATATTCCCCATACATATTAAGTGACGATGACATCCTCCGAGTTAAGTCAGAGCTCCAGATAACAATTTAAGCAATTGAGTTTTTACTCGAAGGTTTCTATTTTAATTGGGTTATTACATTTTTCATTGGGTAACCAATATTTTTTCACTCTTCTATTCATCACTCTATTGTGTTTTTCCCAAAATGAGCTAACATTTTGAGATTTAAAAAAAAAAAAATAATGTTTTAGATGTATATAAGGTTTCTTACTATAAGCTTGACTTGGAAAGTAAATTAGCTTGTAATTGTGTTTCGGAAATTAGCTCCATTGTACCCATGCTGAAAAAGTTTCATTGGGTATTTACACATTGAATATTTTACACCTTTGAGTTTTTTTCTTTTAATGCATGCGTTTTTGTATACAAGTTAATTGAAAGTAATTGGGTTTTGAATATTTGGGGGGATATTTTACGCAAATGCGCAGCTTATCTGTAGCTCTGATTAATGTTCCTCTTGTTAATACAATCTGCAGGGTTTAATGAGAGAAGCAACACGGGTATATAGAGGGGTGATACATGTCCCGGACACTAGCCAACCTTCATTAGGGAGCAACCCTGAAGATCTGTTCGAGGTAGCTGTCAAAAACACAACAGACAACAGGCTGATTGTAAAATGTCTCCCAGTGGCATTTACTTCATGTATTCAGCGAGCAGCATGATGGACACTTACCTTACACTGGGGAAACAATATGCAGTTGGGTCTTTGATAATTATACTTAGAGCTAAAATGGATAGAATTATTGTTAAACCGCCTGCAAGTTATCAGAAATGAGCGGGCCACTGTAACTTGATAATGCCCTCATATTGCTTGACGACGGACCATTATCACGCCCGTTGTCAGGTGACGACATATTGATGTTTAATTGTGACGTCATCTGGCATGATCTGGTTTGTTCTGTGACGTTACCATATTTGTAAAAGTGGGTCAGTGACATTTGTTGTGTGTTGATTGCAGGAAAACGTTTCAAAACCGATATTGTTGTTTATTTTTATTTGATAACAAATTCTATCCATTTTAGCTATAATAATGGTAATGCTATTTTTCAGGGCATTATCATTTGCAGAAGTCCTCACTTTTTTCAACTGCCCTCTTTCGTTGGGCAGTTAATGGAAGACTTCGGATTTCTGCATATGATAATGCCCTGAAAAATAGCGTTACCCTTATAATATGTCACTGAGTTTGATTCAAAGCTTATGAAGCATATATTATCAAGGTGTTTACACCTATGTCTAAAAATATATATCTGGACCAGATTAATTAATACAAATTCAAACAATGATGCCTTGTATGAGAACACTTAGACACAAATGTGAAAACATGGTTGAATAAGATGTTCTAAATACAGTTTCAAAACAATACTGATAAACACAAACATCTAAACAAAATGAAACCAAATTTTGGAATATGCTACAACGAAACGATGGCAGGCTTTATCCAGGTGCTGTATACGCTCCATTCTGCGCAATAAGGGGAGATAACCCTTGTCGATTGGCATCTCGTACAAGAGAATCAAGTCTGCAGTGATTTGGGTGATATGGTTGTTGATGTTTTAAATGTCCACTCTCAGACTAAATGTTATTCATTAATTCACACAACTACACAATGTGAGGAGAAACACTGTTAGTGTGAAAATCTTATGGTTCTTGAAATATTCGAAAACTAGCAAATTCAAATGTTCTTTACCGAACCTTAAAAACCTTGTCACATATAGCACTATAACCCACACTAATATATATAAAAAAAGACAATTGTCAAATAAAAAAAATACCCTCATCCTTGTCGTACAAACAAAGTACCTACACCCTTGTCATATAAACAATATAACAACACACATAAAGAAGACAGCCCTCACTTATCATACAATTTAAAACAAAAAACCAAACATATCATATAAACAAAATACCCCAAACAAACAAAAACCTTTCCTTTAAAAAAATAACACTTCACCTGTCATATCAACAAAATAACTAAACCCACCCGCAAACATGTTATATCAACAAAATACACTTATCATGTTAACAAAATACCCCAAATTTGTCAAATAAACAAAACAACCTACGCTTATCGTGTTAACAAAATACCCCAAACTTGTCAAATAAACAAAACAACCTACGCTTATCGTGTTAACAAAATACCCCAAACTTGTCAAATAAACAAAACAACCTACGCTTATCGTGTTAACAAAATACCCCAAACTTGTCATATAGAAAAATAACACCCTACTCATCATATCAACAAAATAACCCCCCTCTTGTCATTCAAAGAAAATAGCTCTCACTATTCATATAATTTTAAAAAACAAATTTACTATATATAAACAAAATAACCCCACAATTGTCATGAAAACAAAATAACCCTCACTATTCATATAATTTAAAATAACCCCCAACATTTGTCATGTCAAGAAAATAACCCCAACATTTGTCATGTCAAGAAAATAACCCCAACATTTGTCATGTCAACAAAATAACCCCCAATGTCAGAAATGAACAAAATAACCCCAACACTGGTCAAGTGAACAAACGCATGCAGACAACCACACTGTCACCTACCACCATCTTTATAGGACATTCCTTGCGAAGGTAAAACGTTAGCTTTGATAGCCGCAGCCTGCGTGGCCCGCGCGGAGGGCATGATGCCCCCGCCGTGCCCCCCTGTGCCCCCTGTTGCTGGAGTGAAGGAAATAGGGATAGAGAGAAAGGAAAGGAATCAGAAAAAGAAGAATAAACTAAACTGTGAACATGTCAGATGGAGACTACAGGTAAGGCTTTCACAACACTTGGTTCTCAGGCCATCAAGGAAAGACCTCAGTGGATAATTACACATAATAGTAACTGCCCCAACAATGATATGGGTTTCGACAATCGAGGTGACTGAGGCACGAACCTACTTATACTACTGGGATGTGTTATGTCCATAGCTCAGGCATGTTGTTATACTTCGTAACAACCCTGCAAGGCAACGTGCCATGGTCGGACGATGCGATTCGGACGAGAAGGGAGTGAGCTTCGTCCAACCCTGGCATGTGCACATACAGGAAAATTAGGCCCAGCTCTCGTATTTTTTAAAATCCTTTACGGCTCCGCAGGCTGTAAATTTTGTTCAAATTTAAACAAAATGCTCTCTTTTTCACTCGCCGATAAGCTGACAGCAAATTGCACCCAGAAAATATTTCCTGAACAAACTTGTCCGGAAATTGATAGAATGCATAGATGCACGACAGTATTCCCGGTTGATTTGTCAGGTTTGTTTTGCTTAAAGCAACAACTGTGTTGCAAGCTCTCATCCCACATTAAACCATTTCTATTTTGTTATACCAGCCGACCTGTAGGAAAAACTAAAAAAGAAATTGACTTGCTATTTTTTTCCCCCTACCCACCAACAGGTATTTTCCTGTAAATAATCTGTCAAGTGAAAAACAATTTGTTGAAACAATGGACATAGCACAGCCTAGTGGTGTAATGTGACATAGCTGCCTCTGGCCTGATAAAGCTGAAAATAGACCTACAATGTGATAAGTCAATAGCTCAACCAGGATCCACTGCTCAAACTATGCTGGTTCACATGCAGGTTATAGTGCTCAAGTATCATTGTGATGACCCAGTAAAATTAGAAACCAAATCAAACATTGTCTTTTTCCTTTTATATTTTCTGCCACCTACTGACAGGAATTTCCACAAAAGAATCCGTAAACCATGCATAATAGCCTCAACACACTACATGGACAGTTTGTTCTTTGTTACTAAAGGAACTAAGGTGTAACAAGCTGACTGTGATATATAATGATAGGCCATGAAACCCATCAGTCTGATTCCCCCCTATGTTATTGAATGGACATGACCATCTTCAAAGAAGAAGGTTGGCCGAATAATGGTCCGTTTGGCCAACTGGAAGTGTCAGATATTTAAGTGCTGAAATCAATTAGACACATTCAAAAGATTCACAAGAAGACTTGTTATTTCTTTATACTTGCAAGTTTTGGACTTTTGACATGAAAAAGTATCAAACAATACATCAGTATTGCTAAAGGTGTAAATATACTCAGGAAGAACTTAAAGACCTTCTTCAGGGTTTGGTATACATAAGGTTGCTAGTCCAAGGCAAGTAAGTTAAGAAAGGTCAGGACTAGTGATATTTCCTTGTAGACTCCCACTCTTACCATTAGACAGACAGCAACACAGCAGATCATTTTTATGGACAAGTGAATATTAATATATATTTCTAACCCTGTCCTCAAGGAATCTGGAATATAAAGAAGTGCTTGTTGCATCTGGAAGAGGAACTAGACTATATCTACCTAGCAGTACCATACAACGGGAAGTAAGAGATGTGTAACATACTCCTTAGATGATACACTTACAGCTAAATCAGCGCTTGTTGCATCTGGAAGAGAAACTAGACTATATCTACCTAGCAGTACCATACAACGGGAAGTAGGAGCTGTATAATGCTGTACAATATACTCTATAGACACTCACAGCTGTAGAAGCTCTGCTGTAGGCCACTGGCCTCCTGTTGTCTTCGCTGAAGTTCTCTTTCTCGCATCCTGAAATACATCACAGACACTATCACAGCTGAACGCTGACGAAGCAGCAATAATCATGTTTGTTTGTTTGTTTGTTGTTTAATGCCACACTCAGCAATATTCCAGCTATATGATGGCGGTCTGTAGATAATCAAATCTGACCACCCGATCCTGTTAGTCGCCTCTTACGACAAGCACATAGTCAGTCGCCTTTTACGGCAAGCATGGCTGCTGAAGACCTATTCTACCCCGGATCTTCACGGGTCTCATCAACATCAAATCTTGCCTGACCTTTCCCAACAAGTGTCAGCTAAAATAAATCAGGGTGGCACATGGTCTTTCAAGAAACTTTATAATACCGGTAATAACTTGCCTGTAATTATGCACCACCCCAGTGGGAGAAGAAAATAATTTGGTCAAGTGAGCACCTCAACAATCCCAATGAAAGAAAAATTCAAACTATGATCCCCTGTAAACATGGTAAAGCTGCATGCTCTGTGAAATTGGGCCTTGGACATTAAGTCTGTTCATTAATGTCCATGTGTTTGTCAAATCTAGTTTCAAATAAAAAATGTCATAAGGTTGATAATTAAACATTGTTTCTAATTTTAACAGTGCCATGGTGATTTCACCTGTGTCTAATTGGCACACTGATACAAGAAGGTTTGAACACAAGCAGATGGTAAAGAAATATTTAGAATGTGAACATCCCCCATAACTCACTAGACTGAAGTTGCAAATTAGAAAAAGACTTCTTCCACCAAACCACACCAAGGTATCTCACCATCACATGAAGCAAGTCTGCTAAAGTTTCAACTACAAGATGACACAACTACAATCTCAAGATAGCCTCAAATGCCAAAGGCGTCATCAAATTAACATATTCCTGTTGTTCTTAATGACTGAGAATGACATTGGATAATAATAAAATCGCACCCTCCTGTCTGTTCATATCAAATAACCAACAATCATCAACAAAATAAGATATCTTCTCGTCAGGCGTCAGAGTTCTGCAGCACTATTTGACTTGTGTTGACATATTTGACATCAAAAGACACTCAGGTGAGATTCACCATTTACATACTTTGAAGGAAAGACGGGAAACATGGATCTTTGAAATATTTGAAAATACACAATAATGCATGATTCCATGTAACCATGGTAATGGGACAAATGAAATGAACAAATGAAGCAAATGTTGTTGGCATTAGCTACTGAGCTACTCTATAACACAGCAATCAGTACAGGCCATGTCCGTGTGAAGAGCTGTGTGTCTCTGCAAGCATCTGTAGTGCTGGCATTAGCTACTGAGCTACTCTATAACACAGCCATCAGTACAGGCCATGTCCGTGTGAAGAGCTGTGTGTCTCTGCGAGCATCTGTAGTGCTGGCATTAGCTACTGAGCTACTCTATAACACAGCCATCAGTACAGGCCATGTCCGTGTGAAGAGCTGTGTGTCTCTGCGAGCATCTGTAGTGCTGGCATTAGCTACTGAGCTACTCTATAACACAGCCATCAGTACAGGCCATGTCCGAGATGGCAGCCTGAAAATAATCACATCTGGACCAGACAATCCAGTGATGGATATTATGAACATCCCATACCATGGTGGAGCGATGACACACAATCAACCAAGTCACGGAGTCTGACCACCCGATCCATCTTGTCGGCCTTGACTACTAGAGGTTTCTGGGGAACACTTTTAACCCAGAATACCATGAGTGAGTGATTATTGTTTTCCGCCATAGAGGGGTCTCAACAATATGAATGTAACCATGGCAATACTGAACTACATAATCTAAGCAGCGATAAAACAAAAGAAAAAGAATAAAAAAATATCCTCAAACTGATGATTACCTCCCATGAGCTACAGAATATTTCTTTTTGCTGGAAAAATAAATAACATAGCTTCAATCTTTTACAGCACTGTACAGAAGGACATATAGCATGTGTAGACGGAAAAGTGAGAGTTATCTTAATAGGGTGTTATGTGATGGGTAACTCGGGTACTCAGGTCATGTTGGCCCTGAGTAGGACCTGGGTACCCATATAACTATACAGACTCGTGGTTAGTCATGTGATATATTGCTTAATGACAAAAGTTATCTAGAACTCTATAGTTACACTACAAGTCACTAATGTTCGCATTTCTTTCTGATTATGCACTTCAATCAACTTCAGTGTATGCATGACCAGATAGTTTCATATGTGTATCAAAATACATTTGCCAGGACAACTGTCAAACTTTTCCCCTCCGGGCAGTTTGTACCCATCTCTTGAATGAGTGAGTGAGTGAGTGAGTGAGTATGGGTTTACGCCGCTTTTTGCAATATTCCAGCAATATCACGGCGAGGGACACCAGCAATGGGCTTCACACATTGTACCCATGTCGGGAATCGAACCTGGGTCTTCTGCGTGACGATCGAACGCTTTAACCACTAGGCTACCCGACCGCCCCCCCATCTCTTGAGACCTACAGCAGGTACCCGGGTAGGTCAGGAAATAGGGGGATGCTCATCTGGGTAGTAAATTTGGACTTGTCCCAGCCCAATTATGTACCTAGTCTGCCATTAGTCTGCCATTAGTCTGCTTCAAACACAGACATGACACACGTTGTACACTAACAATTCACCAGATTCAAGTTTCAGAAGACAAAAACTAGACTGAGAAAAGCATATCATTCCAAACATACAGTATATGTATATCACTATATGCTTCTCACAGGAGACACAATTTATGGATAACAACTTCTTTAATATACTATCATAGCAATGTTCAGATAGAGATCCTTAAACAGTATACTACGTTTATAATGAACACGCTTATTACGAACAGACAGATATAACAAAACTGTCTTTTTTGTCCTGGCCATTTGCTGTATATATGCTTCCAATGAACTATGGTTATAATGAACTAAAATTCGTGGTACGTCCCTTTATAACTGTAGTTTACTGTAATGTTGTCCAGCAAGAAGTTGTTATCGACAAAAAGTGTCTACTTTGTCATCCGTAAACTTCTAACAAATGCCATCCGTCAACTTCTAACAAATGCCATCCGTCAACTTCTAACAAATGCCATCCGTCAACTTCTAACAAATGCCAATCAAACAATTTACTTATAGTCAGTCATTATTAACCCTTATACATATGGAATCCTTGTCTTCATTATTAACTTATTATTTATTATTCATTAATTATTGATTTGTGTGGAGTCAATTCTTAAACATGAACATCAGAAAAGAATAAAAAATGTTCACAAGAGCTGTTTCAAATACTAGCCAATTCATACTTCCTTCAAGGTGAATTAATAAAAGCATAATAGAGGCTCATATACATAAACTGTTTTTAATAGCTATGCCGATAAAATAAACTATATACCTATAAAATATATATATGTGCTGCTATTATAAAACCTATCTAATCAATTTACAACTATGCACTTGATAATGTTAGTTAGCTTGTGTGTTGTTTAACACTCAGCAATATGCCAGCTATATGTTGGGCTGTAAATCGCATCTAGGCCAGAATTTCCAGTGACTGACATCATGAGCATCGATCTACGCAGCTGAGATATGATGACAAGCATCTGCCAAGTCTGACAGCCTAACAACCCGATCCCGTTCGTGGCCGGTTACAACAAGCATGGGTTGCTGAAGACCTATTCCACCCCGGATCTTCACGGGGGAGACAAGCATAGGGTTCCTGAAGTCCAATTCTAACCCAGATCTTCACGGGGGAGACAAGTATGGGGTGCCTGAAGTCCAATTCTACCCCAGATCTTCACGGGGGAGATATGGTATTAACCACACAGGATAACCAGCAGAAATGAGTGAGTGAGTGAGTGAGTATGGTTTTATGCCGCTTTCAGCAATATTCCAGCAATATCACGGCGGGGGACACTAGAAATGGGCTTCACACATTGTACCCATGTCGGGAATCGAACCTGGGTCTTCGGCGTGACTAGCGAACGCTTTAACCGCTGGGCTAACCGACCGCCCCCCAGCAGAAATGCATGGCATGTTCTATTAATAAGGATGCTGTGTTTGTTATTTAATGCTGTACTCAGCAATATTCCAGCTACATGACGCCAGTCTGTAACTAATCAATCTGGACCACACCATCCAGCCACTGGTATTATCAACAATAGGTTACCATGGTTACATTCAAAGTCACGGGGTACAATCAAGTCATTGAGTCTGACCACTAAATCCATGTTTGTTTGTTTGTTTGTTTAACGCCGCACTCAGCTATATCGCAGCCATATGACGGTGGTCTGTAAATAATCGAGACTGGACCAGACAATCCAGTGATTGATATCATGAGCATCAATCTACACAATTGGGATATGATGGTGAAGTGAAATGGGGTTTAACATCACGTCCAAGATTATTGCACTTATATAGGGACGTGCATGCACACGTGTGTGTGTGTGTGTGTGTGGCTGCTTGTACTACTCCGGACTGATGCCGATTTATAGTTCTAGCTCACTGAGATACCATGCCACAGTTTAACATGAATACCCCACTCAGACACAGTATACTGACTCCGAGCCGACCAGACCTTGTTTTAGCCCCTTAATGCCATTCTAGGCAGGGTAACAATAAGTATCATCTTTTAACGTCTTTTAGTGTGACATGTCCAGGAAACGAACCCAAGAACTCCGTCTCCGGACAGACGCTCTACCACTAGACCACAGAGGAGGTCCACCGACCTACTCTAACCCAGAATCCCAGGAGAAATTAGTGAGTGAGAGAGTTGGGTTTAACGCCGCTTTTAACAGTATTCCAGTTAATCACAGCGTGTCAGCTTAATGTGGGAGGAAAGCCCCAAGTGATGCAGGTCTCAGACGTTTACCACTTCGGTGAAACCCACAAGCACGGGTATTGTGCTGACAAACCTAGAAACATAATTGGGGCGAACCGGGAATCAAACCCACGATCATAGGTTTCTGGCGTGCCCAAGGGACGCAACTCTGCACAGCGAATTGCGGCGCCTTAGACGACTGGGCCACCCGTGCCCCCCAGGGGAAATCAGAGCCTAATGCAACCCTAACTGTGACAAGATTCTACCATATCTCGCATCCTGACTCAGGAGGTCAATGAGATCTCACAAGGGCTTCTTACCAGTGAGCATCCAGAAACAGGGATGCTTTGTTTTGTCTTTTTAAAAGTATAAAGCGATACAAGACATTTTCTTACATCATTGCGACTACATATACCTAGAGGCAAAATGAAATAAAATAAAAATATAAACATCATCCTGGAGCTGATGATTACCTCCCAAGAGGAAAAGAAAATTTCTTTTTGCTGAAAAAGTAAATTATGGAAAAAATAGAAAACATGTATACATATCATTAACAGCGATTAATGTGTAAAGTTCTGCCAAATATTTGATAATCATAACAATAGCTTTGGGTAGATTCTACACTTTAGTTTTCTGTAAAAGATCTGTAAAACACACCCTGATACACACTAAAATATACAGAGCCATATTATTGTTGGCCTAAGTAGAGGCTTAATATCGAAATCCCTTACAGATTGGTCCAGAAGTTGGTGAGGTTTTTTTATTTGAACATAGTGCTAAATACAGTACCAGGAAATAGGGGATGAAAATGAATTTGAATACATTAGTAACAAATCAATCTTTTAGAAAAGTCTGACATATATTCTGACTGGACCTCTGACAGGTACTTGAGGATGTGTTGACCAGCAAAGCACGGTTCAGGTTTAAGTCATCTTCCCCAGGCAAGGGAGTTGACTGATTCACAGTGATTGTAAAAGTCCAGTTTCCACCCTTGCCGAATGAACTAGGCTGGAATTTCCGGGCTCGATCGTAGCGCCACCAGTGGCTATTATTAGTTATGTCCCCTAACATGTTTAAACCTAACGAGAAGGGCTCGAGAAGTCGACCACATCTTCACTTTCCTAACACATGATGTAGACATAGAAGGGAAACAGTAGTGTCTTGATGTCTCTTGAGTAAGATGAGGGTGAGAGTGAGTGAGTGAGATGGGTTAATGCCGCTTTTAACATTATTCCAGTTACATCACGCGTGTCAGCTTAATGTGGGAGGGAAGCCCAAAGTGGTGCAGGTCTCAGACGTTTACCACTTCGGTGAAACCCACGAGCATGGGTATGGTGCTGACAAACCTAGAAACATAATTGGGGCGAACTGAGATTTGAACCCACAATCATAGGTTTCTGGCGTGCCCAAGGGTGGCCCTAGACGACTGGACCACCCCTGCCCCCGATGAAGGTGAGAAAATATTTGTGAGTGTGTGCCAGAATGCTATTGAAGTTGGTTTCTTGAGTTCGGTTTTCCCTTTCCCTACTGACTGGGCTCCTGTCAACCTAAATTAGTAGAGGAACCGTTGCTGATGATTCGTTGGCTGTGATTGGAGGATGACACTTAATCTAGTATTCGCTGGCTCTCAGAATGAAATGACAAAAACTACACACTGAAGTAAAGTTTGTATGTGAAGAAAAATGTTTTCGCTAAAATTAACATCATCAGATCATCAGAAAAAAACTTGAGTGAGTGAGTTGGGGTTTAACACCACTTTGAACAGAATTCCACTTACATCATGTCATGTCAGCTTAATTTTGGAGGAAGGCCTTTCATGTTGAAGTGAATCAGGTCTTAGACGTTTACCACATTTTCCATGAGCACGGGAATTGTGCTGACAAACCTAGAGACGTAATCAGGGCGGACCAGTATTCGAACCAATGATCACAGGTGTCTGACATGCCCAAGGGAGGCAACTCTGCACAGCCAATTGTGGCGCCTTAGATGACCTAGGGCCATCCGTGCACACCGTTAAATTTGTCAACAACAGTGAAACCAGTTTACTCCTGATGTAGACATAACTGCCAATTTTCCTTAATTCCAATTACGATATGTCACAAAAGCTCGACAATATGAATCATCCACAGTACCATACAGTCACGTTATTACAATCTCAGTTTCTATGCGACTACAGTGACTTTAGAAAATATGAGTTTCTTGATTGGACGTATGCACAACACAATAATGGCCTTTATACCATGAACAAGGGACATATGTATATACAACTACTTGAATGGGACGTTTGGGGGCAGATACTAAACACTTATCAAGCACGTGATGAGTGAGTGAGTAGGGTTTTACGCCGCTTTTAGCAATATTCCAGCAATATCACGGCGGGGTACACCAGAAATGGGCTTCACACATTGTGCCCATGTCGGGAATCGAACCTGGGACTTCGGCGTTACGATCGAACGCTTTAACCACTAGACTACCCGACCGCCCCTATCCTTGCAATGAAGAAGTAGAATATCCATAAAGCTATCATCCATGTTCATTATGGCAAATCCAAGAACACTCCAGTTGAAACACAAGACTTATTTGTCGCAGACCGTGAAAGGCTAAACAATGACTCTCTCTTTACCATTCTGTGTGAAAATTTAGTTAAGATGATTCTTTTGTCTGTAGATGGGGATATTATTCATATGATCTTAAGAAGAAATCATATTTATGTATTTTAGTAGTAAATTTGTAACAAATTATGCGATTAAATTTGGGCTAGTTGTCAGTTATGAAGGACGGAGAACAGCCTACCTCTGTACTGCTCTCTCCTTCGCGGCCTTCCTGTCGTTCTTGTTGCCAAAGTGAGCGTGAGGTTTGATATTGATCAGCTTGTTGGCATTGCTCGTCTCCTGCTCAAGATCCATCGCTGTTGAGGTTGCGAACTGCACAAATTCCCGGTATTCCTCGCAGCAGTACAGTTCATCGGGGGGGAGTTGACGCTGGCGTTCCAGCGAGGGGAACGGCTTTATGTCCTGCGCACAGAACTCACACTTGCCGCCGAACATGCCATACATGCGTCCGCACTCGTCCAGGGGGTAGTCGGTGACGTCAACCCCCTCCTTTTCCTTCCGCTTGTCTGGGTCCTCCACTTCTATCTCAGCCAGCTCCGACTCTCGGATGTACTGAGGATAAAGCAAGTATAAAGATGTATCAATGACGGATGCAAGGTGAGGTGAGGTGAAATTGGGTTTAACATCACGTCCAAGATTATTGCACTTATATAGTGACGTGCATGTACGTGTGTGTGTGTGTGGCTGCTTGTACTAGTCCGGACTGATGCCGATTTATAGTGCTAGCACACTGAGATACCATGCCGAAGTTTAACATGAATACCCCACTCAGACACAGTATACTGACTCCAAGCCGACCAGTCCTTGTTTTAGCCCCTTAATGCCGAGCGCCAGACAGGGTAACAACAAGTACAATCTTTTGGTATGACGCAGCCGGGGATCGAACCCCAGACCTTCCGCGGACGCTCTACCACAAGACCACGGAGGCGGTCCCGATGCAAGGAGTAGCATGACCATGTGTCAATGATTGTTTGTTGTTTAACACCGCACTCAGCAATATTCCAGCTATATGACGGCCGTCTGTAAATAATGGAGTCTGGACCAGACAGTCCAGTGATTGATATCATGAGCATCAATCTTCACAATTGGGATACGATGACATGCATCAACAAAGTCAGCGAGCCTGACCGACCGATCCTGTTAGACGCCTCTTACGACAAGTATAGTCGCCTTTTACGGCAAGCATGGATTGATGAAGACCTATTCTACCCCAGAATCTTCACGGTTGGATGTGTCAGTGAGTGATGTAAGTGATTCATCATTCATAAGGTCTACACCATTAAAAGTTTGTTCGGATCAAATTTCTTTGGATTCATTCAGAGTGAAATAAAATATACTATTAAACATCAATAATTCATCTTGATACAGAAGAACAGTTAAACAAAATTATCTAGGAAGTTTTACCTTCATGAATCGGTGATTGAACATGAATATTTTTAATGATATCTAACACCTTCTCAACACACAAAGCACTAAGGGTTAGTTCAGCTTGCTAAAGGATGTGAAGAACTCAATTAGATGTATGCACATACGAAGCAAGTGGAAGCACTAAAAACGAAATGAGAGAGACTGTTGCCATGACAACCAGGCAGACATTGGAAGCGAATTCAGGTATAAGTAACCATGGCAACAAGACGAAGAAGAATTCAGGCAAGAAGAATTCAGGCAAAGTGCAACACATGGTAACCATGGTAACAGCCAGAAGCCAGGAAGTGTGCGAGAAGAGGGAAAGAGGTGTAACCATGGTAACAAGGTAAACAATTAGAGGCAAAGTCGGCCAGAAGCTAGGAATTCCGCTGAAAGTGAAAACAACAAAGAAAGAGCGTCAGCATAGATCGTGCACAGGAGACAGAGAACACAGGTGGACGCTAATAAAACAGATAAAACAGATAAAAAGAGCAGAATGTGTGTGAGCCGTGATGCAGGAGTGAAAAGTCATCGGATGTTACTGAAGTGTTGTTATGAGCAGAGAAAGCTGCGGAGGGTGGTCGAGGTGGAGATGTCACAGGGTCTCCATCACCAGTGTTACCTGCAGGATCTGAGGGGGACCAATACTTGGCAGAAAGCTACGGTCATCCGGGTCTTTCCTATTGGAGTCCTCGTCGGAACTCTTCGTGGAACCAAAACAAGCATCAATTATTTCAACAGTCAATAAAACAACAGGTTCAACACGAGGGGCAGATAAGGGACGCCTGCTGTGACCAGACACCGATCATCGTGTGATATCAGGTTATCAATGTTTTATTGTTTGTTTGTTTTTTAACACATACTCAGTAATATTCCAGCTATATGACAGCGGTCTGTAAATAATCGTGTCTAGATCAGACAATCCAGTGATTGAAGTCATGCACATCGATTCATGCAATTGCGATACATGTAAATAATGGAGTCTGGACCAGACAGTCCAGTGATTGATATCATGAGCATCAATCTTCACAATTGGGATACGATGACATGCATCAACCGAAGTCAGCGAGACTGACCACCCGATCCCGTTAGTCGCCTCTTACGACAAGCATAGTCGCCTCTTACGACAAGCATGGGTTTGTTATCGATGTACTGCCACTGACCCATGGTCAGGTGCGATGCATGAATACCTCCGTCAGTTACATGCCAATTTCTCTCTTCCACATCAGAAAAATAAGCTATCTGTTAAGGGCTCAATCTCATTAAAATCAGATCTTGGTTCTCGCTAACATCTGAGGACGTCACATTACAGGTCACTTCAGAACGACCTTGCGTGAGAACATTGACCAACCAACTACTGACAAGAACTCAACATTAGCCAATCACAAGGCAGCTTTCTCGTGCTTTATGGCGACTCCGCTTCGAAACATATTTTGACAAATTCTCGTATAAAAATTTGAAACCTGAACAAAAAACATTCTTGAATGGCTAATAGATGGTCTAGAATGTATAGATTCAGTCGTGAAGCCTGTAACTATCATTCAGAATACCCTGTGTTAAAGTTTTCGAGGTTGTATGATTCCGACTGTCACTTTCATGATCTGGTAAGTGACACTCTGATTGCTTCGGATGAAAGGTCGTTCTGATGTAACCCGTAATGGGATGTCCTCAGATCTTTGTTTAGCGGTAGCGAGAACTAAGATCTGATATAATGAGATTGTTAAGTGCTCAACTTAGCTATAAAAACATGCACCAGTGCAACCTATCATTGAAAAAAAGCAATCTAATATTTATGTGAACATGTACCAAGTCACGTTAAAAAAATTCAAATATTGTGTCTATCCCTTACTAGTCCAGACAACATCTATCTTTAAACACATTCAATACCTCTAACTTAGTCTAAGGCTTATTTACCACGCTACATCACCAATCTCTGTGTTACGTGTAACTTGTCATGCTTTCACGGGCTTGACATCATCAAACTGTGGGTACTTCAAAATTATGTGCAGATGTTCCTATTTCTATTAAAGCAAAGTGGGATTAATTCATGTGACACAGGCAGCAGACCAGCAAATGTTTTAAATTTGGTGCAACCTAGTTTTGTCCGGTGCAACTGGCTTTTCTTGTCAACATGAACCTTGTGCAAGTTAAATCAAGTTTCCTAAATCAAGCCCTGCTACTGGTGTCGAGCCCCTTGTGTGAATACAGTTGGCTTGACAGCCTGTTTAGTGTCCGTGCATTGACAACAAGCCTAACAGCTGTGCACTAACCCACTAACCCCGTTCCGCATAGCGATCGTAGAGCTACGATTGTCATAAGTCTATGTTAAATTATTGGAGTCAGGGATCAGCTTAACGTTAGGATCACTCTGAGAAGTGGGGCTCTGTACACTAACCCCTGTGCACTAACCACCTGGGCACGAAACCCTGAAAACACCGAACCCCCTCACCCTGTTCCACAAAGCAATCTTAGCGCTACGACTGTCGTAAGTCTATGTTTAAGTATGGGAGTCCTGATAATCTTAATGTTACGATCACTCTGAGGAGTTGGCCCCTGTACACTAACTCCAATGCACTAACCTCCTGGGCCCACTTGCACAAAGCGATCTTAGCGCTACGACTATTGTAAGCCTATATTAAAGTATGGGCGTTTTGATCATCTTACGTTAAGATCGCTTTGTGCAAGTGGGTCCTGGGCACAAAGCCCCGAAAACACTTATCCACTAACCCCGTTCCACAGAACGAATGTAGGGCTACGACTGCCGTAAGTCTGTGTTAAAGTATAGGAGTCCCAATCATCTTACCGCAGTGTTCGAAATACCTGCCTGCCCGACCGTCCGAGACGGGTTGATTTCAACATATGATTATAGTGGGCAGGCAGGTTTTGGTCAGGGCTGGCAAGTATTTCAGCTAGCCAGTCCTGTGGTCTGGCTGAAATTTTGGGGAGTTTCATACCCTGCTTACCATCATGATCGCTGTGAGGTGTGGGGCCCTATACCCTAACCCCCTGTATACTATATCCCAGTGTACAGTGACCCAATGGAGTGCCAAGCTGTGAAACTGTGAACGACAGAACACTTCACCACCTGGGCATCGCATGTGTGTATCACAGTGCCACCTGTGTGGGTACAACACAGCCTACCATGACATCAGCATCGCATTCAACATCATATTCCACATCACATTCAACATTACATTCAACATGACATTCAACATTACATTCGTATAGAATACTAAACGAGCTCCCGTGTAATACAAACGTGAATAGTTCTGGTATCTGACGAGCGAAAGCGAGTCAGATACCACAACTATTCACGAGTTTCATAAAATTGGTTTTACACGAGAGCAAGTTTAGTATTTTATTTATTACTTGTCATTTATAATGTTTTTAGAATTATACTGTTGAGTGTAAATAGGCTGACACCTACACGATCCATGGCATAATCCAATTGAGTTTAACAGAATAATACTTCAAACACGTCAAAAGTTGAAACGTATGAATTTAATATCATACAATGGTCCACCTTTAGAATTCAGGCGTTCGTCCCACAAAATTATCGTAGTGCTAAGTCTATCACAACTCATATACTTTAACTTTGACCAACGACTGTCGTTGCGCTACAATACAATCGCCTTTAGGAACGGGCCTTGCACCTCAAAGTTTACAATCACGTCACAATACCCGATGACGGAATTTGTTGAATTTTGTTGCAAGATCCATCGGCGAAACAATGCCATGTGACGTCAGCCTAGCAACAAGGTTGCTGGGGTCATCGAGTGTGCATAAGCTCCTCCCAGTGATCTATCATCTCCACACACAATGTCGTTGAATAAGCCAAGGGATGTTGAGAGCTTTCAACATTTGTTTGTGAAATGTGTTCCGAGAGTACATAAGCACGCGTTTTGGTATTACTCAATCTGTAATACAGCTGTATGTTTATTAAACGGGTGATCTCTTCACGGGCAAGTAATAAAACATCACATTCCACATCACATTCGGCATGACAACATTTCTACATTCCACATTATATCGTTGTTATTACCACGAAAACTAGTTGAACACTTTCACATTACACACTTGAACTAACAACACAAATGATTATTTTGAGATGACATGGCTTCCCTACTTTAACATTCACGGAATTGTGAAACATACTCCAATATTGCTACTGGTCTGACGTGTGAAAATCTAAAAAGGAATAGTTTTCTCCTGAGATGTAGTGAAAACAAAACACTGGCCCCGTTCCACAAAGCGATCTTAGCGCCACGACTGTAGTAAGTCAGTGTTAAAGAATGGGAGTTACGATCGACTTAGTGCTAAGATCACTTTGTGGGACGGGGCCCAGGTCCCAATTTAGTTGGACTTAACTCATGGTGTGTTCCCAGGGAAGTAGCATATCGTACATCTCTCTAAAATACTGCTAGCATGACAACAGATTGTGATACACCAACATGCTACATCTGCTGCAGTGGGGTGCGACCCTACCTGTGGCCATCAGACAGCTTCTCAAGGATACAAAGGTGCTTCTTGTTTAATATGTTACATCACATTGAAATATATGTCAAATAAACCCTTCAGAGCTGTGCTCAACTGGTTTGACGGTCTCTTACTGATGCCATGTCATTACACATGCTCTAAAGCCAGGCACTAAACACAGACCGGGAGTTCCTTGTTTTAAATCAAATGTAGTGAATATATAATTAGCATGATTATTTTACAAAAATCCAAACAATTTGAAATTTAATTATATTTCTTATTTGAAGAGAAACAGCTGTTAAATATCAATGTTGCAATTGTATCATGTTAATGATTCAAACAGCCAGACAGTTTTATATCAATGGAATTCAGTTGTATGTTATTTAGATCCCATTTGTCTGAGAAAATGATAAGGTGGCGAACAGCGGATATTCTTCAGGAAACCTGGGATGTTTTTTTGTGAAAATGAACATTTCCTGAAAATGCAGTAAAATAATATTTTCCCATATTCACTGGATATGCAGGATGAAAAATAGGTTTTTCATCCCAAACTGGATTCTACAGGCGATATTGCTTGGACGGATATTGCATCTCAATACTTTGCATACAATTGTGACATCATCGGTTACCATGGTATCACAATCAGATGAGATCACTAATCTCTCTGCCACAGAAGCTGGTTAGATGTACCTTGTACATTCAAAACACTGATTCTAACTCTTTACAAACTGATGAAGTTGGAAACACGATGTTGGATGAAGGAATCTCATGTTTGTGTCTTTATATCAAATAAATGTAAAATATAAACACTGCCGATATATTTGGAATCAAAAGACACGAGGGTATGATTCTCATTGTGTCTTGGTAAAAAAAGTATGTGTTTTTTGCTCCTCCTTTCAGAGAACAAAAACACTGACGAAAAAATTTCTGCTTCAAACAAAAATCCCAGGCCGTTACCGTGTCAGAATATTACATTGTCGGTCCCTAGGTTAAACTGTCTAATGCAATGTCATCAAGATGATATGTCAAAGTAGGTCTACAGAGGCTACTCACATCGGAGTCTGAGCTGATGTCAAGGATGGGGATGCCGAACTCATCACTGTAGGGCGTGAAGGGCGTGGTAGGGGCCATGCGGTCATCTGCCGACACTGCATCCGTGAGGTCCCCCTTGGACAGACTGGTGGTCTCCCGACTGTCCGGCTTCACTGAGGAGAGATCAGGGTGAATGTGTCCATCAGTTCAGGGTCAAATCATTCTCTGCAGTAGAGTTCATGCATGTTGTTTTACGCCGCTCTCAGCAATATTCCAGCTATATGACAGCGATCTATACATAATGGAGTCTGGACCAGACAATCCAGTGATTGATATCATAAGCATCGATCCACGCAATTGGGATACGATGACATGCATCAACCAAGTCAGCGAGCCTGACCAGTCGATCCCGTCAGTCACCTCTTACAACAAGCACAGTCGCCTTTTACAGCACGTATGGGTTGCTGAAGACCTATTCTACCCCGGATCTTCACGGGTCCAACTGGAAGAGAAGCCACAGGCCATACTCAAGTTCTGTCACGTTATCGTGTGTCAGTGTGCATCACATGATCACAAAAGTGACCCTTGACATAACAAATTCGGCAGAATTAAGTAGGGGTGATATAACACAGCAAGGTCACATGATGATACGTATCTCATTACACAATACGGTACACATTGCGATACACATATTTACATGAAATTGTGTGGAAACTTCTTGACTATAAATATTTCGGAGCATGTTCTATAGGAACAGCTAGCTGTAGACACATGTTCGTAGCTGTTATTTTTAAGTAGTGAACTTGGAACACATTTTGTAATAATTTGGCTGACAAAATCGCTGAGGTCATTAAACGAGTAGCAAGTAATATATTTTAGCAAGTGTATCATCTTGTGTTGACATAGAAGAAAACGTATCATGTATGATATGGTCGCATGAAAACTAATGGTGCACTGATGTATCCATTTACCCCTAGAATTCAGCGAAACCACGGAAAATTCTCAGCCCCATTTTATAGTGTGAGTTGGGTTTAATACCGCTATTAACATTATTCCAGTTATATCGCAGCATGTCAGCTTAACATGTGAGGAAAGCCTAAAGTGATGCAGGTCTCAGACGTTTACCACTTCGGTGAAACCCATGAGCACGGGTATGGTGCAGACAAACCTTGAAACATAATCTGGGTGAACTGGGATTCGAACCCACAATCATAGGTTTCTGGCGTGCCCAATAGACGCAATTCTGCACAGTGAAACGAGGCACCTTAGACGACTGGGCCACCCGTGACCCCCAACCCCGTTTTATAAGGTACCAGTTGTATATTAAAGTTAAGCGCTGTTAACAGCATCAGCTCTCTTGGATTAGTGTTAGTAGTAGCTGCACAAAATGGATGACGAGGCACGGCTCCAGATAATGTTCCGAGCCATCCAGTACTTACACATTATCATTCACATCGGGTAATCCTAGTTTCTTATGGGTATCAATATATTTTTATTCCTTTGGGTCTTGTCCATTTGGTATTTTTAAGCAAAGAAAAATGTTTAAAACCCAAACAGTCTGGCAGGTGACCCATAAATGCTGACTGCCCAATTTCAAATTAACCTGCACACATTCAGACATTATAAATGTTAAAAATGCGCATAAATAATGAGAGTCAAATCGCATCTTGAGTCAGTTGAAACAATGCAAACAATTACTTGAGAATCTTCAAGAAGACCTTGATAAAACTAAATACATAAGTAGTCTTGAAATTATCTGCCTGATAGTCGGGCAGGTGGAGGAAAATTTCATGTAGCCCGACAGAAATGTTACCAGCCCCCGACAGAAATGTTACCAGCCCCCGACAGAAATGTTACCAGCTCCCGACAGAAATGTTACCAGCCCCCGACAGAAATGTTACCAGCCCCCAACAGAAATGGTATCAGCCCCGACAGAAATTTTACCAGCCCCCAAAAGAAATGTAACCAGCTGCCGACAGAAATGTTACCAGCTGCCGACAGAAATGTTACCAGCTGCTGACAGAAATGTTACCAGCCCCCAACAGAAATGGTATCAGCCCCCAAAAGAAATTTTACCAGCCCCCAAAAGAAATGTAACCAGCTGCCGACAGAAATGTTACCAGCTGCCGACAGAAATGTTACCAGCTGCTGACAGAAATGTTACCAGCTGTTGACAGAAATGTTGCCAGCCCCCAACAGAAATGTTACCAGTTCCATACAGAAATGTTACCAGCTCCAGACAGAAAAGTTACCAGCTCCCGACAGAAATGTTACCAGCCCCCGACAGAAATGTTACCAGCTCCAGACAGAAAAGTTACCAGCTCCCGCAAAGAAATGTTACCACCCCCCGACAGAAATGTTACCAGCTCCAGACAGAAAAGTTACCAGCTCCAGACAGAAAAGTTACCAGCTCCCGCAAAGAAATGTTACCAGCCCCCGACAGAAATGTTACCAGCTCCCGCAAAGAAATGTTACCACCCCCCGACAGAAATGTTACCAGCTCCCGACAGAAATGTTATCAGCTCCCGACAGAAATGTTACCAGCTCCCGACAGAAATGTTATCAGCTCCCGACAGAAATGTTACCACCCCCCGACAGAAATGTTACCAGCCCCCGACAGAAATGTTACCAGCTCCCGACAGAAATGTTACCAGCTCCATACAGAAATGTTACCAGCTCCAGACAGAAATGTTACCAGCTCCAGACAGAAAAGTTACCAACGCCCGACAGAAATGTTACCAGCCCACGACAGAAATGTTACCAGCTCCCGACAGAAATGTTACCAGCCCCCGACAGAAATGTTACCAGCCCCCGACAGAAATGTTACCAGCTCCTGACAGAAATGTTACCAGCTCCCGACAGAAAAGTTATCAGCTCCCGACAGAAATGTTACCAGCCCCCGACAGAAATGTTATCAGCTCCGGACAGAAATGTTACCAGCTGCTGACAGAAATGTTACCAGCCCCCGACAGAAATGTTACCAGCCCCCGACAGAAATGTTACAAGCCCCCGACAGAAATGTTACCAGCTCCAGACAGAAAAGTTATCAGCTCCCGACAGAAATATTACCAGCCCCCGACAGAAATGTTACCAGCTCCAGACAGAAATGTTACCAGCCCCCGACAGAAATGTTACCAGCCCCCGACAGAAATGTTACCAGCTCCCGACAGAAATGTTACCAGCCCCCGACAGAAATGTTACCAGCCCCCGACAGAAATGTTACCAGCTCCCGACAGAAATGTTACCAGGCCCCAACAGAAATGTTACCAGCCCCCGACAGAAATGTTACCAGCTCCCGACAGAAATGTTACCAGCTCCATACAGAAATGTTACCAGCCCCCGACAGAAATGTTATCAGCCCCCGACAGAAATGTTACCAGGCCCCAACAGAAATGTTACCAGCTCCAGACAGAAATGTTACCAGCTCCATACAGAAATGTTACCAGCCCCCGACAGAAATGTTACCAGCCCCCGACAGAAATGTTATCAGCTCCCGACAGAAATGTTACCAGCCCCCGACAGAAATTTTACCAGCCCCCGACAGAAATGTTAACAGGCCCCAACAGAAATGTTAACCATGTTAACAGCCCCCGACAGAAATGTTACCAGCCCCCGACAGAAATGTTACCAGCCCCCGACAGAAATGTTACCAGCCCACGACAGAAATGTTACCAGCTCCAGACAGAAATGTTACCAGCTCCAGACAGAAATGTAACCAGCCCCAGACAGAAATGTTACCAGCTCCAGACAGAAATATTACCAGCTCCCGAAAGAAATGTTACCAGCTCCAGACAGAAATGTTACCAGCTCCAGACAGAAATGTTACCAGCTCCAGACAGAAATGTTACCAGCCACTGGAAGGCAGTGAATTCACGTTTCTAAGCCAAGTAATACTTAAAATGCTCTTTCAGGTCCTTTCTAATTTGCATCTGTTCATGTGTGTCACATGTCACATCAGTTAACATCAGGGATATACTTGACAATGAACACCATTGTGCATTTCACTGCAGTTGAGTAGGTCAGAATATCGGACAAGAAAGACACTGTTGATATAGTATAGTTATTTTTATACTTTTCATGCATATTTGTTATTAACTTATTGATTGGGTTATGGGGAAATATGCGGCATAACTGGATCTTGTTTGTTTCTTGTTTAACGCCAGACTCAGCAATATTCCAGCTATATGATGGCTGTCTGTAACTAATCAAGTCTGGACCAGACAATCCAGTGATTGACATTATGAGCATCTATCCAAGCAATAAGGATATGATGACATGCATCTACAAAGTCAGCGAGCCTCACCACCGTGCCTTCGGCGTGACAAGGAAATGCTTCAACCACTAGGCTACCCCACCGCCCACTTGGAGAAACTTAGACATGACCTGCAAACATTTCTGCTGATGTCTACCCTCTTCCCTGTGGTCTTGTTATCTTTGTAAATGTGAAAAACTGGAAATTATGCCAACGTACAAAGTTAAAATAATCTCAGATGTTTTTAGCACCTACTAACACTGTTAATACATCCATTCAGTATTGGGGTACCGACTTTATGTAAAAACTAGCACACATTACACTTACTATTTTCTGCTTCTTTTGATAAAAATTCAAATGAATGACTGTTTCATTTTGTTATTTTTCTTCTACACAGTACAGGGAAGATTTAAAAACTCGGAATCTATCTCGTACAGGTAAGAATTAGTAACTAAGAATCTATCTCCCCTTAGTGTAGAGGTATCTCACTTGACAGTGTTATTATCATAAGTAATCAAAATAACAATTATCTCCCCTTATAAGTCATGTTAACATCCTTGACAGTGTGATTATCAAGCTCCTCACAGCGACAGCCAATTCGCGGAGCTCTCTATACTTTCCCTGCCACCCGTGAAAGCTCCCCACTGTGATAGGTGGCAGAAACCATGCTTGGAGTTGAGCTCGCAACCGACTGACCGTTATGATTACAAACAAGTGATTGCTGCCGTGACACCAAATACTCTTACGCCTGTTAAATTCTTTTCTTTGTATGTCAGTTGGTATTACTGTTTCATTACAACTATCATGTAATTGGTATAAAAAGAATGTAAGGGAGAAAGTTGGTTGATTTTCAATTCGTCTGAAATCTCCAACCAATCCGATCAATCAAACAAAATGGTTTACTTATCTGGGAAATATGGACAATCGTAAACCTTTTTAAAATAACTATGATCATTCCAAAAGAGCATAATTGGTTGGTTGGTTGGTTTGTTGTTTAACGCCGCACTCAGCAATATTCCAGCTCTATGACGGCGGTCTGTAAATAATCGAGTCTAGACCAAACGATCCAGTGATTGATATAATGAGCATCGATCCTCGCAATGTGGGATCGATGACATGCATCAACCAAGTCAGCAAGCCTGACCACCCGATCCCATTAGTCGCCTTTTACGACAAGCATAGTCGGCTTTTACGGCAAGCATGGGTTGCTGAAGACCTATGCTACCCCGGATCTTCACGGGTCCCAAAAGAGCATAATAAAAGTATAAATGTTACTACATTTGGGGTTAGAGGGCAAATTTCAAGACTCTTGTAATGGCAGCACCAACACTGCTGGCAGCGATGTTACTGAGAGTGTAATGAATGTGTTACGCGCTGGGAAGGAGCTTGTGTGATTATCTCCCTTGACATTGTGATTATCTCCCTTGACATTGTGATTATCTCCCCTTAATGGTTCAAGATTTACCCAGTATAGATTTGAGATCACTTTTTTCTTTCTTTTCCTCACTGCCGATGACTGCACCTGAAATATACATGCAATACACAACACCTGTCAATCACACTCAACATGCAGTTACAATGGGATATATATTGAGTTCATGCAAACTTCCAGGACAATGTATATATCTGAGCAACAAACTTGGATTAGAAATTTGTGAAGCTGTTAATACATTTTGACTAATGTCATGAATTAAATGAATGATGAACTATCAAAAAATATTGAAAATGAAAGAAAAAAATTCTTAATAATCTTTATGAAAGAAACATAAAAAATGAGATAACAGATAATAAACACTTTGGTCCAAATACTTGTTGCTTCATTGACTTCGTACTTTGCGTGACCCTGTCCACTCAACTTGGCATAGTGTTACCATGGTATTAGTAATAGCTTTAAGTTTTTAAGTGACTTCTTTTTTATACAATTGTTTTCAACCAGAAAAGTTCACTTGTCATAATCATCAGATTTACCGTATTCGACCTAATAAGTGCTCCGCTCTAGTAAGCGCCCACAGCGATATGTGCTAATATATTGGCTAGTGAACAATCCCAATTAGCACCCCTTCCGACTGATTAAGTTACACAAGACTTATTTATCCGGGTATACCTTAAGTCTTAGTTGCCCCACTCTAAGCCTTATCATAACATTTCAATACTTTATTTCAGTAATAATGGAAAGACATTTTTCTGGTTCCAGGAGAATTTTAAACTCTTTATACAGGATGTACCTAGATCTAGCCTTGATAGTACTATTCAATGATTTGTAGAACATATTTATCAAAACGTTTTTGAAACTATTTATGAATAATGGTTTGTCGCCAACAGCTTGACTGAGCCAAACTACTCCAAATCCGTGAGAAAATAATATGGAACGAATAGAAGAAGCGTAATTTTGATGGCCACACTTATCGTTATATACAAGCATATCATAAGATTTTCTTGGTATCCTATCTTCGTACATTTCAATCACTTTAAGACAATACTTTACAGAACGGCACATAGCATTTACATATCGTGGGTACCGGCCGCATTCCCCATACACAATAGCATTTGGTGTTTGCAAACCAACGTTAAGAAACTTCTTACAAGCCATAATATGCACTTGTTCTATTTTTTTTTAAATCTCTCTACAACCCATATTTCCGCACCATATTAAAGAATAGGTTGAATCTGAGTATCAAATATATTAAAGAAAACTGAAGTGTCAACAAAATCAAGTCTGAACCAGACAAACCAGTGATTGATGTTATGAGAAATGATCCCCCCATCACTGACCAAGTCACCGAGCCCAAACCACTCAATCCATTTCAGTCACCTCTGAGAAGCACACCTCAACCAATCAATTTCAGTCACCTCTGAGAAGCACACCTCAACCACTCAATCCATTTCAGTCACCTCTGAGAAGCACACCTCAACCACTCAATCCATTTCAGTCACCTCTGAGAAGCACACCTCAACCACTCAATCCATTTCAGTCACCTCTGACTCTGAGAAGCACACCTCAACCACTCAATCCATTTCAGTCACCTCTGAGAAGCACACCTCAACCAATCAATCCATTTCAGTCACCTCTGAGAAGCACACCTCAACCAATCAATCCATTTCAGTCACCTCTGAGAAGCACACCTCAACCACTCAATCCATTTCAGTCACCTCTGAGAAGCACACCTCAACCAATCAATCCATTTCAGTCACCTCTGAGAAGCACACCTCAACCACTCAATCCATTTCAGTCACCTCTGAGAAGCACACCTCAACCACTCAATCCATTTCAGTCACCTCTGAGAAGCACACCTCAACCACTCAATCCATTTCAGACACCTCTGAGAAGCACACCTCAACCAATCAATCCATTTCACTCACCTCTGAGAAGCACACCTCAACCAATCAATCCATTTCAGTCACCTCTGAGAAGCACACCTCAACCAATCAATCCATTTCAGTCACCTCTGAGAAGCACACCTCAACCAATCAATCCATTTCAGTCACCTCTGAGAAGCACACCTCAACCAATCAATCCATTTCAGTCACCTCTGAGAAGCACACCTCAACCACTCAATCCATTTCAGTCACCTCAATCCATTTCAGTCACCTCTGAGAAGCACACCTCAACCACTCAATCCATTTCAGTCACCTCTGACTCTGAGAAGCACACCTCAACCAATCAATCCACTGAGTTGACTCAACGTAAGTTAATGGGGACCTATTCTAACCTAGAATCCACACATATTGTGTTTTAATATTAACCCTTTCATTTCTAATTCAATACTTATCCATGATTATGATTCCATGATTATTATGATGATCATGTAAAAATATTGCAATAAAGCAACCATCACCCAGAGCACAATACAAAGTCGTATCATTTTAAATGAAGAAATTAGATAAGACCATCAACACAGCCAACAGCAAGGCAGTACCAGAAGGGATGTGTTTCCCGAGTCCAGTCTCCACAGCATCTTCCACCCATTGCCAGTCTGTCTGTGTGTCCAGCGTAACCATGGTGATCTCACGCCCATCGTAAGTCTTCCGTTTCGCTGTTTCCTTAATAGCTGGTGATCTGGAACTTAACCTGGAAAAAAAGTGAGTGAGTTTGGTGAGTTTCATTCTAAAGAATATTTCAGTCATATTATGGTGTGTCAGCTTGAGGGAAGCCCAAAGTGATGCAGGTCTCAGGACATTTACAACTTAGATGAAACCCACAAGCAAGGGTATGGTGCTGACAAACCTAGAAACATAAGGGAGAACAAGGATTTTAATCCCCCCCATCACAGGTTTCTGGTACGCAAAAGGGACATAACTCTAACCCGAAAAAGAAAATGACAGAATAAACTTGGCGATTCAATAATTGGAAATTTTACAAAAAATTCTACATTTATATACTTATCCTATCTCATCATGCTCATATGCATTTCTCTTTCTTCTTTCGGCCCAGATCTTGGGAAGTGTGAGGTATGTACGGGTGAATTAACTTTAGAGGCTCGAAACCATTATTTTCAGCTAAGTATCCACTTATAGTATTAGGATCGAAAGAAGAAAGAGAAATGAACGGTGTGAGATGGGACAAGTATAAAAAATTATACCTGGTGATTCAGTGAAACATGGGCAAGGGTGGACACTCGTGAAAATATCTCCTTTTCCCCCCCGTCACTCCACACATGAAATATCCTCTATGTATGTATATATACATCTTTCCGAGGCAAGAGAGTTAACTGACTATAAAAGTCCAGTTTCCACCCTTGCCGAACTAGGCTGGTATTATGGAGTTACATTTTGGCTGGACTAATGAGTCTATGCATAGTCCAATCAAAATCCCACACTGAAATCAAAATCCAGTTCATAAAATGTCGTGCAGATTTCGATCGATTGCAGGATTTGCAAAACATGTGCACCACCAACTCGTTGTCAGCAGATATTTTCCGAATCTTTTCATGTTTTCAATCAAGGTGCTTACGTGATTTGATGCATTTCGCGATGTAAGACCCCTTTTATCACAATATAGATCTTGATTATCGATCAGATCGTTCTGACTGGGTGCCACCATATTGTGTGAAGCAAACGCAAGTGATGGAATCTGATTGGTCCATAGGAGAGGCTTAAAAGGGACAAAACTGGTAATAGCCGCTGGTGGCGCTACGATCGAGCCCAGTTATTCCAGCCTAGTTCGACAAGGGTGGAAACTGGACTTTTAAAGTCAGTTAACTCTCTTGCATCGGGAAGATGGTATATATGGTGTATTTCATGAAGTAAATAACGTTTTACATGTACTTGGGAACCAAAAAATGAGTGAGTGAGTTGGGTTTAACACCATGTTGAACAGTATTCCACGTTTGTCACGGTGTGTTGGCTGAATGTTGGAAGACAGCCCAAGCTGGTGCAGGTCTTAGGCGTTAACCACTTTGGTGCTGACAAACCTGGAAACATAATCGGGCTAACAGAGATTTGAACCCACGACCATAGATTTCTGACGTGCCCAAGGGACGAAAAAATTCACAGCGAATTGCAGCACCTTACACGATTGGGACACTGTGGGCCCCCAACATAAAGATGGGGTGTTGGTAGTGAGGTGGACAGAGGATGAACATAATTGTAGGAGAGTGAGTGAGTGAGTGAGTATGGTTTTACGTCGCTTTTAGCAATATTCCAGCAATATCACGGCTTCACACATTGTACCCATGTCGGGAATAGAACCCAGGTCATCAGCGTGACGAGCGAACGCTTTAACCACTAGGCTACCCGACCGCTCCTAATTGTAGGAGATATCAATAAACTTATCTCAACCAGCTCATTTTACTGCTTTCCCTACTTTTCAGTAAAGGAAAATATTCTTGCAAGAAATAACTCGGAATTATAAATGTCTATCAGTATATTTCTATATGATTTAGGGGGCCCAGTCGTCTAGGGTGCCGCGATTCACTGTGCAGAGTTGCGTCCCTTGGGCACGCCAGAAACCTATGATTGTGGGTTCGAATCCTGATTCGCCCCGATTATGTTTCTAGGTTTGTCAGCACCATACCCGTGCTCAGGGGTTTCACCGAAGTGGTAAACGTCTGAGACCTGCATCACTTTGGGCTTTCCTCCCACATTAAGCTGACACGCTGTGATATAACTGGAATACTGTCAAAAGCGGCGTTAAACCCAACTCACGCTATATGATTAAAACATGGTTTTATTCCTTTAATATTTGTTTTACATAAATTTGTCTTTTTGCTAATATCAACAAGAGTTTGCCACTACATTGCTATCCCCGCCCCTGTTGCAGAATTTATGACATAATTAAATCTAAACAAACCCTAACCTTTTTTAACCGAGGTGGAACTTGTCATGGAAATTGTAAAAAAAAGAAGAGTTTGGAACCCAAGTCCATCTTGTTGCCATGGAAACATAAAAATTAAACATTTTTAAAATTCACCAGTTCAGCATGTACCTGACAAACCTGCAAAGTTTCATGAAAAAATATTGAACGGTTTCTGAGAAACGAAACGTGACGGACGGAGCCCGTTTCTATATCTCCCGCCAACTTCGTTGGGCGGGGGATAATAAGTGATTCAATAAGAAGGTGTTTGTACCTCCAAAATAGGTATCTTGTTTTGTGATAAAAACCACGATAACATGTCCAAAAATAACAGTTATAAAAACATTAAATTTGTCCTACAAGAACATTTTAATACACGTGATCAATGGTTTCATTGCCTGACTTACAAAATGATCATTGGTTTCTGTCAGCTTAGTTGATCTTCAATTATTCCTTTTTAGTGTATTTAATTTTGTGTAGGAATTTGAATTGAAATTTTAATACTTTTATATCCATTTTAGATTTATAGTTTAATATTAAATAAAGTACCTTTTATGCCATACATTATCTAGAGCTCAGAAAATGGAATAAAGCCTTTCTTTCACATGGCAAATACCCATGTACACCAATTCCTAATAAAATCTGAAAATTTACAAGTGTGATTATACCACAGTGGTTACATTAGAATTCCATTAACATCATTTTCATTTAGCATATACTTTTTCATATATTTGTCCCATGCATCTAATGTGTCTTTCCAAAAAGGGTTATCTGAAAGTGTTTTTGAATATTAGAACCCAAACGAAAGTATCTCGTGAGGGAAAGCTTGAAAGATGGTAGCATTTTGGTTTAGAAATATATCATTTGATACATGATAACTTAAGTGAGTAAATAAAAATTATAATATCAACCATTGTTGCTTGTTGTTATGACTAACTTCAACACCCAACTCCCCAAAGATATGACAAAATGACAATTTTATATCTGTTGTTTTACAGAAATCCACGACGCTATCAAATATAACTTAATGATAACAACAACAACAACAACAACAACAACAACAACAACAACAATGCCGGAAATGTCACAATGTCTAAAATTTAAATCATGAAGGCTGAACACAAGAGTGAGTGAGTGAGTTGGGTTTAACGCCGCTTTTAACAGTATTCCAGTTATATCGCAGCGTGTCAGCTTAATGTTGGAGGAAAGCCCGAAGTGATGCAGGTTTCAGATGTTTACCACTTTGGTGAAACCCACGAGCACGGGTATGGTGCTGACAAACCTAGAAACATAATCGGGGCGAACCGGGATTCGAACCCACAATCACAGGTTTCTTGCCTGCCCAAGGGACGCAACTCTGCATCGCGAATTGCGGCGCCTTAGACTTGGCCATCCGTGCCCCCTTGAACACAAGAAAAATGGGACAACATTCAACAATAGGACACTGGCAGATTGCATATAAAGCAGCTTACATGTCGTCTGATGGTTTGGGGGTGAAGGTCACTGAACGTTTAGATGTCCTACTTTCAACTACAGCCTCATCATCAAAGATTTCTGGTCGGAACCCGCGTGCTATCTTTGGAAGAGACCGCCCTTGGCCAGGAACGTCCAGTGTGGCTGAAGAGCCTGAAAACAAAACAAAAAACAGTTAAAGTTAAACGGGCAAGTTCACAAAAAAGTGACCTTGACCATCATAGTCTACCACTAAGTTGGTTGGTTTTGTTTGTTTGTTGTTTAACGCCGCACTCAGCAATATTCCAGCTATATGACGGCGGTCTGTAAATAATTGAGTCTGGACCAGACAATCCGGTGATTGATAGCATGAGCATCGATCCAAGCAATTGGGATCGATGACGTGCATCAACTTAGTCAGCGAGCCTGACCACCCGATCCCGTTAATCGCCTTTTATGACAAGCATAGTGACCTTTTACGGCAAGCATGGGTTGCTGAAGACCTATTCTTCCCTGGAATCTTCACGGTCTCTACCACTAAGTAGTATATCCTAAAGATCACATGAACATGCATTAAGTCTATTTCTAGTGGGAAGCACTCTTACTCTAACAGCGTACGTATCCTATTGTCTTACATGTTTTTGTATGCACATTTTGCTTCTTGGTGAACGCATAAATTAACTTTGAGCAAAAACATGCTTTTCAGATTTCTCCCCACCCTCCCTTAGTTTTAATCTTGCAATTCTGCAGCATCTGAAAATAAAAGTTTAAAACAAACCAACCTTGCTTAATAAAAGATAAAATATTAATTCTTAAAACAAAGCAAAGTATGACAAATTCTGTATCACAGATGTATCATTTTGGCCCTATCAGTATCAGCTGGAAAACAGACACACACGATAACATACATAAAGCATTAATGCATAACATAATTAAAGGTGCTACTTTCTTACCGAGGTAAAACCATGGTAGATACTGTATTTTTTGTAGAAATTTCATACTCCACTAAACATGCTAAATGTACGCATTATTCCTGTCTTGTGTCTACTACATCCAAACAGCACCCTGTGACCTTGTCTATCGCTCTGTCAATGACATCACAATCAGGGTCATGTGACCAATAATGATATGACATCACAATCTAAACCTGGTTTGGTGTCAGCAATGACATCACAAAGGTATGACATCACAATGCTTATGACATCACAGGTTTTATCATTTCCCTGACACAACAAACCCTTGCAAATAATAGAAACATTAAATTCATTTTTTTAATATTAATTATCATCCAGCTCTTATTTGTTAAATATTATCCAGTTTTTCACAAAAACTAATTCTTACAACTTTCGTTAAATTGATTTATCGCCTATACCTTCTGAGGATGTGTCTTCAATGTCGGGCTTGACACCGATATCTACTTCGCTCTCACTGTCAGTGGCGAAGCCATTGTCGGGCCCGTCCTCTTCCCTGTTGTCCCCCGGGCTGTCCTCACCCCCACCCCCAGGGCTGTCCTCACCCCCTCCAATGTCAACATCCCTTTCTTCCACATTGTCTAAGAATTCCACACTTTTCCTTTTCCCAGATCCTGGGCTCTGTCTCTCCATCTGTTTGGTTTGTTCTCCCGCATCCCTGGTCCGCTCTGTGGAATTCGGGGGAGATAGGGACGACTCTTCCTCTTCCATATTTCACACCTATGGCACTGTGGAAGTCAGACATTGGGACATATACCATTCATTATATGGTAAAAATAGCTCCGCCGAAATATGTTGACAAACATGATAAATATTCAACAGGATTAGGAATAGAAGACAATTCAGAGCAAGAAAAAAAGTCAGCGACATATTGCTGTGATTATATTCCTTCTAATCAGGTAAATTAGACAATATTTTATGTCATGCAAAAGGCGGAATAGGCCTCGGGCCTAAAATATTGTAAATAGCCTAGTGAACAGTTGAAATAGTATTTATATTGCGAACGACTTCAGTGATTTACCTGACAATTTATAACGTGATGCATTTTCAACATGATTTAATAGCAAGCACATAGTTTGTTAATCAAATGTCGGGATGACATACCATAACACGTTTACATGAATACAACAATAAATATTATACCTGTACGAATGTAAGACTCTCGTGTTATCGGTCCGCCATTACCTAGTTTGTTTATAGCGACGATCACGTGCTGAGAGGACGGATTTGATTGGCTTATTTCTACCATCATTTGGATCGCCCATGCTGCAAATATCAATTTTACAGCAATGAAAATCCCCGGCGAATCCACAAAACAGCCATACTTGTATCTTCAGGAAATATGTACTGCTCATAAAATAATACATTTACCGTAATAAAGAAAACACTGCTGTCGTAATATTCCAAGCGGTGTCGATGCATTCCAGACCGGTGTGGACCTCCTTTCTCCCCTATAATATTAAGTACTACACCGAGGAACAAAAACTGCCCATCCAGGATCTAAATGACATCTATAATGCTAAGACGATGAGTTGTTTGCACAAATATAATAAAATAATGTACTTTATACTATGTATTCTTACCTTTGTTTGTGAGTATGTGATATTAAATGATCGAAGTCAAAGATCGTATAGGGGCACGAGTGACCCAAGAAATGCCTATCAAACAATCTGATGCTCGGTAGTTTTGTCTCATGTGGTTTAGATGAGTGAGTTGGGTTTAAACGCCGCTTTTAACAGTATTCCAGTTATATCAAGGCGTATCAGCTTAATGTGGGAGGAAAGCCGGAAGTGATGCAGGTCTCAGACGTTTTACCAGGAGCACAGGTATAGCGCTGACAAACCTAGAAACATAATCGGGGCGAACCGGGATTCGAACCCACAATCATAGGTTTCTGGCGTACCCAAGGGAAGCAACTCTGCACAGTTAATTGTGGCGCCTTAGACGACTGGGCCCCCCATGCTCCCTGGTTGTTAATAAAAGCACGAGGATCATATCGCGCTCATATTCTGCGTTACCATTGTTCATAAACATAGGGCATATCCCAGCCGAAAATTTCACGTTGCATTTTTAATATTTTAGCCTCATATATTAGAATCTCGTATGGTTCAATTTATAACAGTAATTTAAGTTATTAGATCTACACACTTTTTTTTAGAGAATAATCGATTTCTTAATGATAACATGTTTTCAGTGTAAATGTAATTTTTCGTAATTTTGATGTTTTAAATACATTAGATTCAATTGTGTGTTTTTTCACAGTGCATTATCTATAAATTATCAAATACTTCGATTAGTGACATACTGGTTTGTAAAAAATAGACTTTTTGAAAAATGAATGCATTCTTGTGGTTCTTTTTCACAATTTTAAATTGTATATGTTCCCTCGAAGCTGTAGTTCAGCTAGGCCAGGAGAAAAATGGAAAGACATAATAACTGAAAACCATTTATATTAAATATTTTGCTGGTTACATTTTCGAAGTTCAATACCAAGAATATATTTTTCCTTTTATGATATATAATTCCATTACTTTCACTGACCTTCAATCATTATCTATTTCAAACTTTTCCTTTTGTAGAATCGGATGAAATGGGAACTGTACTGGAAATAAACTATCACACATGTCCTTGAATGTATATATGTGCATACCAAGGTGTAAACACACTAAAGTCGTATTTATAACACAATATGAAAGAAAAGGTCTCCGATGACCAATCGCTAAAACAGGTGGGCAATTTTTTGTTTACATTTTTGTTTTTTATAAACTTAAGTTTCTTTCCTTACCTTTTTACGTTTTATGGTTTCTCAAAATCTTAGATTTTTTCCCCGATACGATAGTAAATCGGGTTTTAGTTTGGGTTTGATCAGGAGCAGTCGCGTTTGTTCTGTGTCAGCGGCCACATCTGAGCAGGGTACTATATTGTTTTCATTGGTGCAAGATTCCTGTCATTTCGGAAAACAAAGCATCAAAGTCAATATCGCTCAATAAATCAATTTCGTTCACCTCAGTAAGTTTACAGAATTCATTTTCTTCACTTTCGTTATTAGTATTGAAAGATAGCCATCTAATATCCAAATCACCGTGAGGACAATCCATTTTGTTTCATGTAGCAGCTAGACAACATTAAACACCAGAACCAAAGCATTTATTTATTTTTAAGTCAGATGAAATGTTACTAGACAAGGCAAAAATACTAAATTAATTATAATCCTGATAAATGGAGGTATTAAAAAGAAAATAGAAAAACGAGTTGATTGAAAACACCGATCGAGAATTCGGGGAAAACCCGGAAAGTAGTTCCGGCAAAAGTTCACACGATCAATTTCACAAAAAGATGTTCACATCGTGTGAACTTTTCTGTCTGTTCACAGGAGTGTGAACTCCATATATCAGATCACGTGACTACCCATTCTGCCAATCAGCATGAAAGAAACAGTGTAAACTTCAAAGTTTGAAATTATATGGAGATGATTGAAAACACCGATCGAGAATTCGGGGAAAACCCGGAAAGTAGTTCCGGCAAAAGTTCACACGATCAATTTCACAAAAAGATGTTCACATCGTGTGAACTCTTCTGTCCGTTCACAGGAGTGTGAACTCCATATATCAGATCACGTGACTACCCATTCAGCCAATCAGCATGAAAGAAACAGTGTAAACTTCAAAGTTTGAAATTACATGGAGATGTCAACAAGCGACCCAGTCGGGACAAACAGTGACAATGTACGCATTCCGGTACTATCTCGGTAACATTTATCATAAGTATTGAACATTATACTTATTCTTATCATTGGCAAAATATTTTACTGTTATCTTGTCTTCTTACTGATATAAATTTAGCAAAAGAGTCTGGCCGTTCTGTTGTGATTTCAATTTCAAATATCCATGACCACCTTGTAACTCCCAGTGCAGTTTATGCTACCTGAACAGATGATACAAATCCTACTAAGATCGTGTAAAGTATAATTCATTGTTTACACACCATTAACTGAAAGTATTTGTTTATCATGTGTTTAAGTCAAGGTGTGAGTTTGAATAACTTTGCGAGTTGTATTTGAAGTCGAGTAGAAAATATTGACTTTGACCATATCTAGATAGATGTCAGAAACTAACTAAATTGATATGTTGATATAATTCATCTTATTGTAACCTATTGAAGATTTACAATCATAAAACAATCAAAATTGTGCATCAGTTGTGTGTTTGATGTAAATTGTAATGGACTAAATGCATTCTAATGAAATATTAGACCTCTAGATCTACTAGTGCTGCTGTGAACAGTAGTTATTTTAATTTTCATTGTTGACAGATTAGATAGCATGTGTTGTAATATTTTAACTGAATTATTACAGAAAGGGTCTGTAAATATTTAAAGTGAAGTACAGTTTGATCAGCAATTTTGTAAACAATATTTCTACCAAAATGATATTGACTTTTCTGTACCAAATTAATTATGTCATGAAATGAACACAAAAACAAGTGATTAATGGCCAGTAAATCTACATGTGATCTTTATGTAATGTATAGAAACAGACAACTCTTTAACAGTCTGTATTCAGATATTTCAAATTCACAAATTAAGATTACTATAAACAGAATTGTTTTTTTATGAATGTTGCGTAATTCCCATGGGTATTGCAATCATAACTCTTTGTTAAACTAACGAGATCGGGTGGTCAGGCTCGCTGACTTGGTTGATGCATGTCATCAATCCCAATTGCGTGGATCGATGCTCATGATATTAATCACTGGGTTGTCTGGTCCAGACTCGATTATTTACAAACCGCCGTCATATAGCTGGAATATTGTTGAGTGCGGCGTAAACCAACCAACCAACCAAACCAACTTTGTTTAATTGTGAAATCCATCAGGTTTTACGTACACAAACATATTTTGAAACAAATAATTTCTTTTGTGCAAGCAAATGTCATGTAATGTATTATGATTATTAATCATATTAATTTATATATTAGATGATAGTTGTGCTTATTGTGTCAGTGTGCAATGATTATATTGTTATGATGTGATATTTTGCTATTGTTAACAATCTTTAGGACTTCAGTTTATTTTTTAATCAAGTCAAGTGGTGTGATAATTTTGATAATTCAATCAAGACGACTAATATAAAAAAGTATAAATACATAGAGGAAATTTGTTTTCCTTGTCAAATAATGATGATTACATGAATTTATCTCATCTTGTGATCTGACAAAGTTAATATATTCATGAGTGGCACATCCACAAGTCAAAATATCAACTTTAGTAAATCACAAGATGAGATAAATATTTCATTTGACAAAAGATACAAGTCTTATTCATGTTATATTTTCTTTGTGATCTTCACGACCTTACTCAGAGAACCATAGTGTCAGTGAGGCAGACCGACTGTAGGTGTGACAAAACGTGATATTTCACCTGATTTTAATAGTCTTATTTGTTCACTCAAGCGAAGGTATGCTTTCAGCATGGTTAGGTTAAATAAATCTTAGAAGTAGAAATATTATTACAATATTATTGAATTATTTATTTCAGATTTTGTGTCCAGAGTCTCAACACAGAGAATATCTATAAGTCGGCAGTGTCCACTCTGTTGATTTCCTTTCTTCATGGAGAAGATGTATGCTGAAACTGAAACCATCTCCGGTAATGAATGTCTGGTTACAATGTGCTTCCTGTCACATTTCACTTAAATAGGGCGAGGAAGTGAAAAGCCATATTAACTCACCAGATGGACCCTTGACGATCCGGGGAAGAATAGGTCTTCAGCACCCAATGCTTGCCGTGACACGCGACTATGCTTGTCGTCAGAGGCAACCAACGGGATCGGGTGGTCAGGCTCGCTGACTTGGTTGATGCATGTCACCGATCCCAATTGCGTGGGTCGATATTCATGATGTCAATCACAGGATTGTCTGGTCAAGACTCGATTATTTATAGACCGCCGTCATACAGCTGGAACAGTACTGAGTGTGGCGTAAAACAACAAACCAACCAAGCTTAACCCAATACCAGCAATTGCCATTATAGAACCTATACTCATACATTTACCTCAGAAATCCTGGCTATATCCACAGGCGGACTTGGCAGCCATCACAACATATATTTCAAACGCCAACCTATAGCTACACTACACAACTTTTAGACCATCCCAAACAAATTCAGGGGCCTGAAGTTAGCAGCGGGTTCGTTATTCGTTTTTCGTTATTCAAATGCTGT